GGGCGGAGGAGGGGAGGGGAGGGGCGCGTTTGTTATTGTGAATATATTTATTTATTTATTGGCTGTTGTTTACTGTGTAGCGGAAAACGGGGTTTGTGCTATTTTTTTTTCTTTCCTGTTGTCTCCGCAGAAATGCGGCTTTTCAGAGCTGTATTCATGGCAAAGGCAGCGGAAAGCGAAGCAGGAGTTTTGCCTTCACGATGGGCCGCCTTATGCCAACGGAGACCCCCACGTGGGCCACGCGCTGAATAAAGTAGGTGCTCAGTCGTTAGTCAGTAGCGGTCCCTGCCTTCACGTGGTGGACACGCTCTGCGATGTGCTGGGTATTCCCCATTCCCCCTTAAATTGGTAGCACTCCCAGTGTTTGGCATTTTGGGAGGTAGCCCTCTTGGTTTTCCTTCTCCGGATAATAGAAAATGACAGGGCAGAATGGGGTGTCTCTTTGCTGGCTGCTCAGTTGTGAGGCTGGACATGATGCCTCTTTGAAGGGATAATAAATCTTTGAAAATCCTGTGTGTAATTCACCCCTAAGAAGTATAAATACACAGTTTGTGAGTGCACAAAAATCATTACATGCCTGTGTGTATATTTATGTTTGAGAAGTTTGTTAAATTGCACTTTTTTACTTTTATCTGGCTATCATCACTGCAAAAACAATGATGAAGTGTTGATGTTTTTTAAAGTACAGGTTTTTTTTTTAAATAAAACTGCTTCATATGGATGTATTTAGATTCAGCCATGGGAGCAATGGTATTTTGTATCCTGCAGAGCAGGAAAGAATAAGAAGGCCCCTCACACCTACTGACAGGATCTAACAGAGAAGTGTGGGCTTCTGAAAACCAAAGGTTTTTGTAAATGAGCGCTTTACTGAGACACAGCAAGCTGCGCTAAGCTCGTTAGTGACCTCTGTGTTTAACAACGAGCACGGGTAGGATTTGATCACTTCAAGCTCTGCACATTTATAAACTGCATCTTTCAGTTGTCCCAAATGTGATTTCCTTTGATCAAGGGTCTTTTGGTGAGATTCTGCCGAGGTGCAAAAGAGTGGGCAAAGAGAGAGCCTGCCTGCAGGCTAGCATGCAATTCATCAGGCCTTCTGCTAAGATTGGCCTTGCAGGAAGCTCTTAGGCAATATGTAGCTATTCCATGTCGGGGAGCTGCAGTGGTAACTGGCCCGCGTGTCCTCCCAGATTTTGAAAGACATCACTAACCGTTTCCACATGATGAGAGGCTACAAGGTGCATTACGTGCCAGGGTGGGACTGTCACGGTTTGCCGATCGAGCTGAAAGCGTTATCGGAAGTCAAGGAAACTGCAAATCTTTCACCGATGGAAATCAGACGGAAAGGTAAACTATGATTTGGGAAGTTGGTTTAAGTATTTGTTTGTCCTAGTCGTCATATTTTGAATGTTATGATTTATAAATAGCTTTGATGCTTTTTGTGCCTGTTTCTGTTAGGTGACACTTTCTAGGACCACCTTACTGGTACTCTGTTTGCAAAGCAGATGGAGTACAATGTAATCTCATCAAGTGGGATAACTGAACACATGCTTAAATTGTTGTTGTAATGAGCTTGCGTAGTGTTGACCATGGATTTAAGGAACAAGAGGACAGGGGATTTAGACTTTCTCTCAACTGTGTGACAGCGTGAAAGTAGTATTTATTACATTGGTCTGGTTTTGGTGCCTTTGAATTCCAGGCAGAGCAGTTGAACTTAATTACAAACTAAAAAGAAGCACATAAAAATCATGCCATTTCCTTTCTTCAGGCTGGCTCGAATATCATGATTAGAAATGTATTTATGGACATTCTGTTTCTAATTGCAGCACAAAACTACAGGCTTCCTGAGAATGTAATTCTGTGTTAGATGGTATTTGAAATATCTTTTTCAAAACAGTTTCCAAGTTTGCTGAATGGCATTAGTATTCACCTACAAGCTATTCGTAATGAACAATTTAAACTGCTTCAGCCTGAAGCAGCATCAGTGAAACTCTAGCCTCAATTTCATTTAGATAGTTTCTCAAAATGCAAGCTATCTCATAGCTGGAAATACTTGATTTTTTTTTTCTTCCCACTGAAGAAGATGTGTGTTCTAGAGGCATGTGTGCTGTATGTCCTCGTGTTAGTAAAGAAGTTTCTCTCCTGGCTCTTTCTGCCCTTGACAGTTATTTTATATAACTACTTCTGTGGAATATATTTTTGAGCCTTAATGGTCTCTTAGTATGAAGTTTCACTTTATTCAACCCCAGCTCTTTCTTCTCAAAAATATAATTTCATTTAAAATATGCTATTGATATTAACCATGGTAGGTTAAACCTTGTTCTTAATTTTCCAGCCAGAGAATTTGCAGAAAGAGCAATTGAGAAGCAGAAATCTGCCTTCATTCGTTGGGGCATAATGGCAGATTGGGCTAACTGCTATCGTACATTTGATGGAAAGTATGAAGCAAACCAACTGAAAGTCTTCTACAAAATGTATGATAAGGTATGTAGAGCTTTTATTGAAGTATGTTCTAGCTTGTTAGGAGTTTTGATTCTCTTAACTCTCTTTCCTCTTCTGCTTTAGGGTTTCATTTATCGGGACTATAAACCCGTGTTTTGGTCTCCTTCAGCAAAGTAAGAACCAGCTTACTATTGTATCTTTGCAAGCTTAACAAACACCAATGGCTTTTTATGTTCACATATGTTAACCTGTGTTTGATGTGTACCCAGTACAGCCTTGGCTGAAGCAGAACTTGAATACAATGAGCAGCATGTCAGTCGCTCTGTGTATATGAAATTTCCCCTGCTGAAGCCACCACCTAAACTGGCCTCTGTATTAGGTATGACTTACATTTAGTTCTTAGAGACAGGTAGATTTATTTTCTATTGTCATTTTTTATGACTAAAATACTTCTAACTTTTATCTGTAGGTGGATCATCCCCTGCTAGTGTGTTAGTGTGGACCACGCAGCCTTGGACTGTGCCAGCCAATCAAGCAATTTGCTACATGCCAGATGCAGCGTATGTGTCTTTAACTCAGTTCACTGATCTGCTTCTGTCTTTATCAGTATTTAGCAGAAAAAAAAAATTAAGTGACATTATTGTCAGTTTTGTTCTATTTCTCTAATAATGTATTAGTTTTTGCTTTCATTTTTAGCCCATCTAAACTTATTTATTTTTCCTGATGTATTGTTTTCTGGAAGTTCTTCGGAGATTTAAAAGCAAATTGGATAGACTAAAAGAAGCTCTATGTTGTCCTCTTCTAGAGTTTGGAGGATTAAACTGTTTTAGCTTTACAGTTTGTCATACGTAGTATCGTAAATATTTATTTGCACTGTAGGTATTCTATTGTGAAATGCACAACTACTGGTGAATACTTCATTTTGGCTACAGATAGAGTTGAATCTTCAGCTGCAGCTTTGGACACACAGTTTGAGGTTATATCAACATGTAAAGGTAAATTTTCCTGTCAGATTCTGTTAGATTTGGTCACATAGTGTATTGTAAGTGTATTTTTTCAACCATAGGTTTCAAAGTACATTTTAAAATCTGGTTTTGGGTTTACAACATTTGAACATGAAGTTGGAGTCTTTTTAGTATAAAAACTTTAGCTATACTGAATGCAGTTTGTTTCTCTTGCTAATGTCTTTGCTAATGCAAGAAGTGCTTAATTTTAAGTTTGCTTGTTGTCTTCATGACTGCTAAAGTCTTCCTAAATTGATGAAACCACGTAATTTAGCAGAATCAGCAGAAACATCAGCCACTGTTGTTGTCTGATGTTACTGTTCAAGATTTTCATGATTTCCTAGTGTCTTAAGCAATCACTATAACCATGAAGACTATTGAGGTGTCCTATATGATTCTGGGCTCACACTTACAGCTAATGCAGTAAAGTTTGCATCCTCACACACAGCACAGTAGTGGCAATAGGCCCACTTCTGATTCAGTGTTTTGAGTTACAATTTAACTTTTGTCTTAATACGAGACCGGTTTCTGGAGCACTGAGGTAGTGGACCCTGAAGAGTGGCTACGTGCTGTGTGTCTCAGGGTGGAATGACACCACCCACAATAGGCTACTGTTGTGCAGCATAGGAGAAAATCTCCCCCGCCTTCCCATCACCTCCCAGGACATTGCAGCAGTAACAATGCAAAGAATTTGTAAGCGTTTGAATGGGAAACCACAAAGAAGATAAAATTTTATCTGAATAATATCCTCTCTGTACTACTGTTGATTTGCATTTCTGTTCTCTGATAAGAGAAGCTGAGAGCATGAATTGTTTTTCTACTTTCTCCTCAGATTATCTTTTTCGTTTCCAGGTGCCGACTTAGCGGATGGTTCTTGTGCTCATCCCACAATTCCTGGCAAAGTCTCTCCTTTGTTACCTGCAAATCACGTGACAATGACAAAAGGAACAGGATTAGTTCATACAGCCCCAGCTCATGGTATGGAAGACTACAGTGTAGCTTCCCACCATCAACTACCCATGGTACTTTATTTTCTTCAGCTTTAGCTTCTATTTTCTTGCAATTGTTTAATCACATGCCACTAAAGCGACTGTTGTAATTTATGTGTAAACCTTGAAGCATGTAGATAAGTGAGTATCTTTAATAGCCTGCAGAATGGCCATATGCAGAACTAAACTTCAAAGAGCATGGATGAAGAGTCCCGTGTTTCTCATCCAGTTAATCAAAGTTGCCACTGTAGTGGTAGAACAGAAGGTGTGTTTTTTTTTTTGAGAATAACACAGTACTCCTCTGTCTATACTCGGAACCCATTATAAAGCTTCATCTAAAAATTAACAGGTATACAGGTCATTATTACGATTTTCAGCAAAGCCTGGGGGATTCTTGAATAAGAAAAAAAGATATGGAATAAGGACTTAACTCATATCTTCGTTAAATATACCTTGAATGTCAGTGACTTTAAAAGAACATTGTGCACATGTGTATATATATGCATTTGTAAGAATAATATTTACTTATATATATTTAAATTTATATACGTGTATGTATATATATATACATTTCGTTATGCATGATCAGTACATGTTTGGAAATGAAAATGCAGGGTGTTTTTTCTCTTTTACCTTTTTAGAGAGGTAACTCTTGATCTTCCAAAACCTGAGTGTGCCCATATTTCTGTTGATTCCTTTTGTTTGTTTTGCTGTTAGTTTGAAAATTAATTAAAATCCTAAGCAGTGACTTGCAGTAACACAGCTGTGATGTATTTTCAAATTTAGCATTGCTCATTTCTTCTGACGGATCAAATTCACTTGTCTGTTGGTTAATTACTATATTGCAGTTTGTTAAATCCAAAGTGTACTTACATATAGCATACTTTGTTTTTCATCAGAAAAAATGTTACTTAGCAGAGTACTTAACTCACTCTTGAATATCGAAAGATGATTAATTACCACATAGGATTATATTGACACAATTAATATGTTAATTTTCAGGATTGCCTTGTGGATGAGGGTGGATTTTTTACAGAAGCTGCAGGTCCTGAACTGCAAAAAAAGAACGTGCTTGAGGAGGGAAATGAAGCTAGTGAGTACTTAGTCAATTTTTACTTTATTAGGTACATTTTTTCAAATATATTTTCCGATTGTTATAAATCTGAACACATTTTGAATATGGGTAAGATACAGGCATCACTTCTTACAGTGCAGATCATGGAAAGGGAAGAACTGAAGCTAGCAGTAACAGTATGTTTGAGTCTAATTTTTTTTTTTCCCCCTGTCAGTCATTCAGATGCTTCAAGCAGCAGGGAGTTTATTAAAAGAGGAGAAATATGTACATAGTTACCCATATGACTGGAGGACTAAAAAGCCAATGATTATTCGTGCCAGCAAACAGTGGTTTGTAAACACTGCAAGTATAAAGGCTACAGCCCAGGTAAATCACTTTTGTTTTGTGGGCAGCTTAAAGGCTGATGATGCCACTGGAATCAGTAAAACAGTTTTATTATGTATCTCAAGGTTATTGTCTTCTCTACTGTTTACAAATGCTGCCTATATGACATCTATCTATGTGACAGTGTTAGTAAATTGTGGAAGTGACGAATGTTGTCAATTTAGTTTTCGTCAATATTGATACAATGCAGCATAAATGCATTGATCCTGAGATGTCTGATTATTGCACTTACAGGAGATGCATAAATTTCTTAGAGCTACTGAATTTCTTTCCTGAAAGGAAATTTATCACTCTATTTTTTAGAGTGATAAATTTATCACTGTATTTTTTAGAATTTTATCGCTCTAAAGGTTACCTTTGCATATGTGATAGCCATGTATGGCTATACATCTGTATTTCCTCCCATATTTGTTCTGCTTGAATAATAACCACATCCACATTTCTAGTGTTTTAAAAAAACTTTTTTTTAATGCAGTGCTGCTTGAAATTACATGCTTCCATGAAAAAAATTCAGAACAACACATTAGGCTGTGTTGGGGTGATAGTGATTTCCTTCTAGTTAGGGCATGAGGTTATTCCATGTTATTCTATGTTTCATCTAGCATGGTGAAAAACATGCCAGTTATTCAGCATGATTGGGAGTGTAAGCTGGAATTCAGGAAATATGTCTCAAGATGCAGTTTTGAAGTCAACAACAGCACAAGGCACAATAAACAGCTAAACACTGAGTGGAGCTACAGAAACCATTTCTGCCTCACCTTTGTGTGTGTCTGCTACAGTGTCAGAGCTGGCAAAAAGGCAGCGCTGTGTGAACACATACAGTCTATATGGTGGTATTAGACTATTACTGAAGAGCAGAGTGCAGTTAGGTAAATGAAACAAATGTTTTGTCTGCCCAAAAACATGTTTCGTAATGCAAGTTCAGGCCTCTACCTTTTTCACTGATACTGTTTACCTGAGTGCTGATTCTTGTTCAACAATTTATTGTTTGCTTTTTAGGAAGCACTAAAAAAAGTGAAAGTTATTCCCACATCTGCAGTAAACAGAATGCTGGAAATGCTGGACAGAAGGACGTTTTGGTGTATATCACGGCAAAGAAGCTGGGGTGTTCCAATTCCTGTTTTCTACCAGAAGGACACAGGAGAGTGCCTGATAAACAGGTAATTGTCTAGCTTTATATGCACTAGGAAGTGAAAGGACAAGAGCACTTACTGTTGCTCTGCAGTTTTGCAGTATGTCATAAAACTCATAACTGAACATGTTCTTGCTTGTAATTAGTTATATAAAGTGATAACTTGCTTAACATGACATTTATGCAGATGATTGAAGGCAGCTTACCTACGTACTTACGTTACCTCGTGAGTCCCTCAAGATAGTGGTTGACAGTTTCTTCCCTCTTATTCAAGTTCAGTGAGCTGGCAGTAGTCACAGGTTTGTATGGCTTAAATAAGGGGGAAAACATGAGTTATGGGTAGAGATTGTGAACGTGGTCTTAGCATTATGAATGGAACAAGGCAGATACTTGTTAAAATGGGCTTTGAAATTGAGTAGCTAACAATGAAAAATCTGAAGTGGAATAACAAAGTCAGTTGCAGAATATAACTTAGGCTTTGGTTCAGAGTAAAGTTACAGGGTGGATTTTTTTGTTGTTGTTGTTGTTGGTTTGGTTTGTTCTTTTTGTCAAAAAAAAAACCCAAAACCACTCACTCATTGAGGTTTTTAGCCATATGAATAGGTATGCCCGAAGTTTTGCATTCCAACCTTACTCTTACTTTGGTGAAGTCAGATAGTCACGAATTCCTGAAATGCCTTTTTGCAGTAACTGTCTACCATGTGATGCAGAAGAAATCCTGAGCTATATTATTTTATATATGAAACCTCAATCAAATATGATTTTATTTATTTATTTACTTTGAGGAGTAATAGGGAGCTGCTTTTACCAGTTTAGGGAACAGAGGTTTTCCAAAAGCTTGGAAAAGAGGTGTTGTGGAGTTCCACCTTTGTCTATTTCCTTAATTGTTTTCTGTCTGAAGGTAACCTGTGTAACTCCATTTTACAAGTTTTAATCTCAGTGATACTTGTGCAATTTCATTAGGGTAATGAGAAGGAAACAAACTTGAATGGCAGACCATTTTGCTTTTGATGACAAACAGACTGCAAAGAGTCCAGCTTGTTTTGCAGAGTCCTGACTGGGTAAATGAGTGTGGAAGGTGGTGAGGCTTGTGGGGTGGGGAGCAGGGAGGGGACGTGGGACAAAGTTACTCCATGACTTCACCTAGCGTGACTGCGTGTAGGGGCACAGCTGTGTACTTTGCTGCTCTGAGTAGCAACAGTTAACAGTTGTTTTTAGTACTCAGATAATGCTGAGGCACACCAGAAAACATGGATGAGAGCTCTGTGGGCTGTGAAACCATTTTGTCTGCAAAAACGGAAAAAAGTTGAGTATATAATTCACATCATGAGTTACAATTTGGGGAGAATACTCATTTGCAGATTTTCTGAGCTGTATCCTTCAGTATGTTACTTGTATTTGTTTAAAATTATGCTAAACATGGAGTTTAACAACAAAACAAGAATGTAGTTAAATATAGTTTAGCAGTTGGCAGTTAAATAGCTACTTCAGGATGTAGAATGGACCCAGTACAACAGATGCAGCTGGTGCAGAAAATACTTGAATGGATATATGGGAGCTCTTCTAGGTGGTATTAAAGTTACCTTAAAAGCTTGTATTAAATGGGATGTCTTTTTAAACCCTTCTGTGTCTGTGATTACTGCTGGAGTTATACGATGTACAGCGATCGGGTGATAAACTTTGTGGTAGAATAAGAGCCCTACCTTTGTGTATTTAGATACTGGCCTACCAGGAATGCGTGTAGGCAAGGGGACAAAGGGACAGTGTGGCATGTTGGATTAGAATTGATCCAGGTGGGGGGGAAAAAAAAAAAAAAAGACAACGTATATGTTATAAGCTGGAAAAGTAGCTTTATTTAACTTGACCGACAGCTTCTGATGCCCACTTATTATCAGCAGTCCATAGTTCAAGTTATTTTACAGCAAAGATGAAACTTTAAAACAAAGGAGTAAAGCACTCCTTGGCTGTACCAAGCTCCTGGAACAGGTATTGGGGAAGTGTACAGAATATTGGCCTATAGAAATGACAGGCAAATTTAGAAAGCAGTCTGTCAATTCATAGGTCATTTTCCTGGACACCAGTTCTTACTGGAATAAACAAGTAAACTTAAATGTTCTGTTTCCGTTTGTTATTTTGAAAATATAGCACAGTGGGATGATGACATACGAAACTAGTATCAGAAAATCGTAGATCGTGTGAATAATTCAAAATCATTGAAAACAACAACAGATAACTTGCATTTTCAACAAAGGCTGTTTTCTTAACTTGAATGCTGGGTGAATTTGCTTCTAGTAGCAGCAGCTCCGGCGTTTTTGAGTGACTATCAAAAGTAACAGCATCTCCACTGGAAGTTAGTGTAGTCCACATGGAGTTGCTGTTACATATGAGAGCACTGATCATTGGTCTTGAGTGATCCCCTCTATTAATCACCTGTAAAATATTTTTTTAAAGCAGTTTCCCTCTGTAAATCAGTCAGTTTCCCTTCGCTTTGTCATTTAAAAGTAGTGAAAATTTCTCTTTTGCAGTGTTACTGCTTGTCCCCAACAGAGCAGTTTCCAGACATTAAAAATTCTGTCTTTCTAACTTCAAAAACAAGAGCTAGGTTGTAATCTTGGATGCAGTAAGTTTAATACCAGATCTCCATGAGAGTCTTCCTGCTTGCCGCTGCGGTGCCACGTAGCCCTAAAAGACATTGGGTTGTACAAAACAGTTTTCTAAGGTTATAAGAATATTCTGCTGAAGACTAGATCCATTATGTAGGCTGTACCTCATCATATGTATCATGCAAGCAGGTATTAAAAATTAGTGTCAGATAACTATAAAATAACAAAATAGTATGGCGTCGAAAAAGGAGCATGCATCATCAGTACTGCAGTTTTCCAATGGGAATTATACAAATAGAAAACTATATAGAATATAGAGAACATTGTGTGCGATTTCTTCATTAAAGAAATAGGAGGAAAAAAATTAAATAAACATTTGATCTATTTGTTTTGCCTGTCAACTTTTGAAGTTGATTTCTTATAAGAGGAATCTAATTTTAGGAAATTTTGCAACTCTTGAAAGTGAAGAGAGATCAAAGCTAAAAACAGATTTCTGATTCTGTTGCTAATTCACACCAAGTCCTATGAATTTAACTATGAAGTTTAGTGCATGCATTAATATGACCTCAGGAAATTACTTCTCAAATTTACAATTTCACTGTATCGATAGTAACTATTACTGCAAAGGTTGATCTAATATCTTATTCTCTTTTGGTGACTCGGATTAACAATTAACTTAAATTTGTCCCACTGAAGAAACCCTCAGTTTTGAAGCAGGTCTACATTGCATCTAATTTGCTATCTAAAGTAGTAAAATATGGTTCATTGATTTAAAAGCAATAGAAGCTTACCGTAGCCTAAATACTTACTCTCAGGATATCGAGGAAGGTAACTTGTCCTCTTTTCAGTTGGTCGAAAAGAAGGCGAGAGAACAAGAGGAACTGTTTTCCTCTCCTCCTGGCTGTATCTTAATGCTGCCTAATTTCTGTTAACACATTAAATAAGTGTTCAACGTAATCGATATTGGACTTCAGAGTGATTGGCTGGTGTCGTGGTAGCGTGAAATGCCGTAGAGGTTCCCGTGTTAAAAACGTAGCAAGTGACACGTAGCGCAAGTTCTTCTAGATACGGCGAATGAATACGGGGCAAAGTTTTACAATGGTGTTTATTGCTCGCTCTGGGAATTATTTTGAAACTGTAGGAGGAAAAAAGCCTTCGAAACAATTATCTTTGGTTAACCAAAGATATCTTCTCTTTAAAATACTGGATTGGTTGACTATTAATATTTATCAGTACACTTGCTTTGAGTAGGGAAGCTAAATGTCATGAAGAAGAAAAAAACTGCTAAAATGTGCTTTTATTCCTTGATTTGAAACTGATCAAGTTTTGAGAATCTTGATCCGTAAGAAGATGACAGTCCTAACTTTTCCTGTGCTTTTTAAATTTGAGTTCTGCCCGAGAACTTTCTTCTGTAGCATAATCATATTTGTTTGTTTGTGTTCACGTCACAGAAATACACCTTTAAAACCATTCTGTTCCCCATACAATAACAGTGTAAGCTTTTATGCTGCAGAGCAGCAGGCCTGGTGAAGGCTAGGCCGCGACGGCGTGCTTTGCAGAAGCAGTTCACCCAGAGTGGCAGCTCGTTGCTGTGCGGTGTCGGCCCCACTTACTGTAAATGAAGGCAGCCGTTTTTACAAGGTTCCCCAAGGCAGCCTGAGAACAAGGGCCGTTTCCTTCTCGCCCTTCCCCTTGCTGGGACGGAAAGGGGGACGCTGTGTCCTTGCTCCAAGCGCCATGGTTTGCCCTGCGTAGAGCTGCCTCTCCCCCGCCCTGCTGGTTTTCCCATGCCTGTCTGATGGCCACTTTCCAGCCACATAGGATTGCAAGAAAATGCTGCTTCCCACCCGTGAAGAGACAGTCAGTAACCTAATTTAAATATAATCTTCTTTTCTCGGGTTGGTAGGACAGTAGTCAATTCCTGGGAGATTGTAAGGGAAATGCTGCATATTAAAAGCTTATGTATGCATTTGTATGCATGTGTCCGTCTGTATACATAATTTAAAACAAACAAACAAATTTTAGTTAGAGACTAGTATTTTAATAAGTGCTGTCACACAGTTTACTTTGTGGAAAGTGAAACGATTACCAAGTGGAACTAATAGCAATCGTAACTTTAAAACACCCCTGTCAGCAAACATGGCATATGTCATGGTTATTCCCTAAGGGCTGTTAAGTTTTTATCAGGAACGACTAGTCTAACTCATCCAACTCATCAGCCTCCAGAAATTCAGCAGGGCAGACGTGGCACAGAAATGTGCTGATCTTTATGGTAAATCTTCTCATGCTAGTGGTGGTTGGTCTTCCCCTGCGCTGCTTGTTTGGTTGGTTGCTTTGAACCTAAAGGAAGATGGGGGCTATGTTGAGAGCAGCTCTGACATGACTCAGTGTGAGCCTAGAGCACTCAAAGGGGTTTTGGAGTTACTGGTTTTGGAATCCTTTTTTTTGTGAGTCCTCTTCTTGTAGGAAACTCTAGGCTAAATTGACAGTTGCAATGTCAATATTGATTGAATGTTGGTGAGACTTTCTCTGCTATAAGAATCTCTAAAAACAGTGGTTTCGTTAAATATCTGTTCAATGCTTTGAAAATGTACAGACTAAGAATGAATTTCTCACCATGTATATATACAGTATGGGCAAGTGACATGGAAGACAAGCTTAGTTTCTGTGTAATTTTTTCTACTTGTTTTAGACACTTGTTTTTAGACTTTATAGACTTCTTTAAGATTTTTCTGCTTGAATTTGTGCTGATAATCAGTATGATTCTCAATTGGAAAAGGTTTTAGATTCAAACTTGGTACTAGAGCCATTATTCAAGCACCTTTTTTATTGTGTGTGTGTGTGTGTGTGTGAATCAATGCACCCAAATTTTACTTGTTAATAAGAGTGTGATAGGAACACTTGCCCAATCAAATTTTAATCATTCTCTTTTAATTTAGGAACACTCTGAAGTCTGTGAAAGGTCAGCATTAAACCTGACAGTTTTGTTTGCCTTGACCTCTTGGTTCACAGCTATTTGGTCTTGTAAGACCTTTGCCAGTGTGAGTCATGATTGTGTTCTGGTATGGTGCTTCTCTCCTGAAAATAGAAATGCTGCCAGTCACTTTCACAGGGTGAGAGTTCGTCCATAACTCTTGAGACCATTGAGAGAGCTCTTGAAGGACTCAGCTGAGGAGGAGTAGTTACCCATGGTTGGAATTAAAGACACTTCCTGGAAAGAGTCAAAGGTGGAGCCTTCTTGCAGCAAGCAGTGGAGCATAATGTTGTATATTGCTTTTTCCAAAATGTTCCAAGGTCCTACCTCCAAACCTTCAGTAGAAGGGGCTCGTGCCACAGAGGAGAATCAGATTTGGTGGAATAATTTAGTCTGGCCTGAGACAATCAAAATAATTTTGGTTTTGGCTTATATGCTTTTTCCTGAGAAGCTTCTGATTTTACAGGTATTTTGCCTGAAGGAAGGAAGGCCCAAAAGATATTTCTAGGCTAGTCTAGGACACTCCATCAGGGCTGCATTTGTTGTTTTCTTCTGTTTGGGGGAAGTAACACACCAGAAGTGTCTTTTTGCAGATAGGCCTCTGTAATATTTCTGGAGGGAGAAGACACCATTGAGAACTGGCATTCCTAAGTTTTGTTTTACCAAAATAGTTGTTAGCAGATATTGCTATAAGCCACAGACTGTGTCCCTTGACAATTTCAGGAGACAATGACTGCCGTCTCTTATGGCCTACAGGGGTGACAACTCCAGTGCATGCCTGTTAGCTCTGGTTCTCTAAGGGATACTGACTAGTGCTAATGTGGTTTCCCTCCAGAAAATGTACTGGGATGATCTAAATGGACTTTGAAAAGACCAGGACTAGTTAATACAAAATCATTGGTCTGACACTGCAATTTTATCCTTGCAATCATCAGCAAAATGGTGTTATCCTCATGAATTCCTATTTCATGCTGTGTTACTGCAGAGTCATTTGTTTTATATCTTCTTGAAGAATCTAAGTTTTCATACTTACGCATTTTCTGTAAGAGCACACTGAGCATTTAGTGGATGTTCCGTGAGATGAAGGGAGTTTTGCTTTTTCTTTGTTTTTGTTTTTTAATCTAGTTTAAACTTTGCCTAGACCTGACCTTATATTCAAAATCAGTTTCTTCTAGCCTTGCCTACTGTGGACCACAACTGAATTTGTCATAAACAGTATAGAGAACTGCAGGCCTTTCTGTTGCGTTATCTGTTCATATCAGGAAAAAATGCTTAGTTTAAAAAATATTTTTTCCCCATAGTATCTATTTGTTTCAGAATCTTTGTCCTTGCTGGTGCTATACTGTATTGACTGATACTTTGCCCTCAGAGTGGTTGATAACATCACTTCTGGGTACAAGAACTACAGTTTGCTCCATTATTGGGAATGATATCTGTAGTATATATCTGTATTTATATTTATATAACGTGTATAAAGTATATTTTAAAAAATGTATTACCAAAAGAGGAATCCAGGCAGCTGCTAATGTAATATGAGGTGTGTACATTTGAAACGCTGGTATTTGGTAGTTCTATTTCCAGGTGAGTTTTCAAGGTCTCAATAAAGGGGAAAAGAGAAACTTGTTATCAAAAAGAGGCAGTATTGTGGGGGAGAATAGTTGCTTTGTTTCATTCCAAGGCCAAGAAATAACAAGTGAAATGGGTTTTGGAAGGCTTCAAGCTGAGTGTCCAAGCTGTTGATGGTTTGCAGAACAGCTAGCCCGAATATAGGTTTCTGTATACCCAGGCTTTTACACAACCCTATGGCTAGCATCTTGGAAGGCGAAAGTAGAAAGCTGTTGGGGGTTGGGAAGCTGATAAATCCCAGGTTTAAATAGGTTGATCTCTTTATCAGTATACTTCACCACTTGGGTCTCAGGTGCTTGAAGAAATATGTGCTAATTTACCAATTCATACAATCCATTTTTCCTTCTAACCCAGCGAAACCGTCACAAATATCATTAAAATAGTGGAGCAGCAAGGGACAGATGCATGGTGGACTCTTCCTATTGAACAGCTACTATCAAAAGAGGCTGTAGCAAAGGTAATTTTTTGACCTCAAATAGAGAATGAGGTGGTTGAGTGATGGGAAGTAGTGTAAAACCTTCACATATCCTTGGAACACTTTTCCAGTGTCTCCTACATTTATGAGATGGTAAGAGCCAAGTGTGACAAAGCACGTACAAGCAGATTTGTGCCCTTAATTCAGGTCATGGAGTCTCTATTTTCCTCCTTTTAGTCAAGGAGGATGCCAGTTTCCTCTAGAAGCAAGTTATGAGCCAGATCATGTATTAAGTCTTTTTTTTTTTTTGTCATTAAAACAGGATTTTTTTGTCCTACCTTCTATTGTTCCATTAATAGTTAGGTTCTTAAGCTTACAAACAAACAGTAGTGTGAATCTAGCATTGACATTTTTAGGCCTTTTTTTTTTTTTTCTTGTGGCTGATGATCTTGAAAACTATTGTTAATAATTATTTATTTTGTGTTTGCATGCAACATGGCTGGCAGAACATGTACAAAACTGGTCCAGAAATCAGATCTGCTTTATTTATAGCTTTGAATAGCATTAATGATATGGAATATTCTGTTTGCATTATTTAATAATTGTTTTTCCAATAGGCTGGTGGTCACGATACTTCAGATTATGTAAAGGGACAGGATGTTCTGGACATCTGGTTTGATAGTGGAACTTCCTGGGCCCATGTTTTGGAAGGTATGAAATTAATATGTTGATAATGGTTCTATAACACCTGGGGAACCAATGTAACCATTTTGTATAATGCTGTTGGTATCAGGAAAAAAATGAGCAGCAAACTGGTGGTCATTTCTTGTAAAGATTTTAGCTTATGCTTGTAAGGAATAAGATTTAATGTTGGCAACCTCATTCTCAGTATAATTGAAGTTGAGATTTTTCTGATGCACAGACCTTATTGGCCATATGGCATGCGTTTTGTCTCCTAATTAGAATGTGATTTTTTTTTTTTTCCTGTAGAATTTTTATGAAAGGCTGAGGCCTTTCAATGTTACCTGATGCTTTAGATGACTTTCAATTAACGCATTTCGGTTTGCACTAGTGCATGCTATTTGAAACAGGACAAAATTGAGATTGGCTGCTGAATTTTCAAAAGTTTAATCGTTTTTAGCCGAATATGTGTACATTAGCCCTTTTTACTTACTGAAAGTTATCAGAAGTGAAAGGAGTTTGTTGTGGTTTAAAATGCTCATACTTGCTCTGTCATTTATAGCATCTCCCATGCTGTAAAACAGGAGCATGATGATAGAAAAATCATCGTGAATTTGTAGTCATATATGTACACACACACACAGGTGTCTATATATACACTTGTGCACATGTATGTGTGTGCATATGCATATATACATATACTGTTTGCCCGGAGAGTGATCCGGAGTCAGGAGACCTTTCCAAAGGAAGGAGTCCTGTGCAGAGCATGAAGTCTGTTGGACTTTAAACCCTCAGCACACAATTGTGTGATAACAATCTTGTTGAATTATAAAACACGTTAGTACCAGAGGTTTTATTTCCTAGCAACACGGTCAGGCAACAGTACCATCAGCAAACAGTTTCTAAAGGACCTTTACATACGCTAAAGTTCATTCTCTTTAAAAATGTTTCTGGTTTGGTTTGGTTTTCGAAAGGCCATGTAGTGATGGTATTCTACATGCACAAATATGTGCTTGTGTTCTTTAAGGGCTTAAGCATCTTCTATGGAAACTACTTCTGTCCTATATAGAAAGAAAGAGACCATATTTAACAGGCAGTAGCAGAATTAATACTTTTGGCTCCCTGTTAATTTATCAGAGTCCCGTATGGTTTCTGTGAAGTCTGTTGTGTGTTGGGTCTTTCACAGTACAGATTCCTCTTTTGCTGAACTCTTAAAAATGCCCCTTCCTCCCTGGCCAGTTGCCTAGTTTCATTAAATTGCTGGGATTTGGTGTGTTTAAGACTTGTTATCTTGCTCTCAGACTTGAATGGATTGGCCCAACAGGTTCAAGAGTTAGGGAGGGACACAACTAACAGGCAGTGTGATCTCAAAAGCCTCTTTATCTGCAGAAACCAGGCTAAAGTTGCCTTGCCTTTGGCTCAGGGTAATTGAGGCTCCCATTTGCTGCCCAGAGTGGAAGTACAGAGTCCGATTCAGATGAAATGGCTGGTTCAACTTTACTGTTTTTGAAAAATGCCTTTTGCAAGATCTGTTGAATGAATAGCTTCCTCTTGCATTTTCAAAGTATACACCAGCATTTACAACCTGATGCAGAGCTTCTTTCTACATAAATAGTAATAACTGACAGCATTTATTAATGTACTAAATGATGGACTTGCCTTCCAAAATGCTCCTGTAGGAGGAGGCTCATGGAAAAATCCAAAATTGCTTAGGGAATGTCACAACAGAAAGCAAAACTCCCTGTGGCTTAAACTCCTGAAAACATCTTGCCCTATGGGGCTGAGTTGCTACCTGTGAAGTGCTGTCTCTTCAATGTGTGGAAGGTGCTGCTGACGGAAGGTGCTGCTTGCTCTCACATGGTTATGGAGGCATGTTGGGTAGTGGATCTTACAAAGGACAGGAGTATGTGAGGTGATTTCAGAGCTGCTGGAGGATTTAATATATTGCTGTAACTGAGACACTAATGTACATAATTGTTGCAGTCTACTGTGAACTCAAGTTATTGGAAATTACAAGTCAACAATCTTTCTATCAGTAGCCACCAGGAAAAAACACTGTTACTGGTTTTCCTGCCAATTCCAGTCTTACAAAAATAAGCAGTTTTCTTCAATAACTGTGTGACATCCACCCTGGGCAATGTGGATCTGACTTGAACTAGCCATGTTGGAGCAAAATAGTTATTAAATGAGATGCAACAGTTCTTAAACTCATCACTTTAGCTAATGGCCATGCATACCATATATATGAAATATGGGAACAGACTTTGTTGCATTAAATTAGCATTTCCTTCCTTTTTTTCCAGGCTAGAGATATCAAAGGTTTTGATTCTGGATGAAAAGTAGCTTTACCCAGACTTGAAGTTAGCATGCCATTATATGTCAGCATTGTGACAAGAAGGTGCTTCTAGCAAATTAAGATGGATGATTTGGTTACTAGAGTCACAAAACCAAAATTTCTGTAGTTAAAATTATTTTGTGTACAAAATAAATGTTAAACTATTTGCAGCATTGAGAGCAAACCCGCATCACATTATTGCAACATGCTACTAAAATATTTATGGTGATATTTATTTCACCAATACTCTGTATTCACTGATAAGTGAAGTTAGTGTTATGGACTTGCTGTGCTGTCTAATCCAGTTTCTTACTGCAAATGCCTCAATTTTTTTTCTTTGGAAAAGCAGCTTTTTCCACTTCTTTTATAAAGGGTTAAAATGTGTAATATCTGAACACTTCATGTAGTGATAAATTAATTATTTTAATTAAAAAATTAATGCTACCACTGTGAGGTAGCTTTAATCTGCTACCTGCAAACTGAATGTGTAGTAAAGGTAAAATTTTGTTCTAAAGCATCTGATAATTTTGAATACAGAACTTTGTGGTTCCTAGGACTGTGTTATTTCTTTTCTTCAAGGTTCAGTTTAGTTTGGGTTCAGCTATATCTACAATAAGTTTTTAATAGAACTGGAAATCCAGAGGCTAAAGTCAGACACACACACACACACACACAAAAAAGTGAAATAAATTTGTAAATCTGGATTTAAATGACTTGCAAATCAGCACATGGGCTTTCCATGGTGCAGCAGGGCTACACTTTGGGTCCTTATTTACTTGCTTTAACTTTATCAGCCCATGCGCTCTGCAAACAGTGTCTTCCTGTATTCATTTTTTTCCTAAATTCTGCTGTAAATGAGTTGTCATAGACAAGTTTTCTTAAGTGCATAGCCCTTACTGATATCTAAAAGCGGTATACTGTATTTTCAACAACTGTGTAACTGTTTCATAATGTAGACAGGGTGGTGGATTAAGGGCAGACAAACAACTGCAGAAGTTCATAAATGCCAAAGTTGGGTGAATTGCCTTGGTGAATTCTGGGTCTGTTCATTTTTGTCAGCAGGTTTCTGTATTTAATGACAATATCAGTCCTTAAGTATTTAAGTAGAGACATTCTCAAGACTGATCATTGAGGAACTTCTGTAGTAACTTTGTTCGTCTTTGACAGACTCGTTTCAGGAGCTGTCTTTGGAGAATCCGTTTTAGAAAAAAAACTGTTTCATTTTAACTGTTTTCTAAAATTTCCTTTTCCGCATCACATACACTAGAAACATGAGGTTATTATTTTTGAAAATATTAAGTAAAAATGCACTGAACAAAAACGTGATGTGCTGTTGGTTTAAAAAAAATCAAGCAGCACATGACCCGTAGTTCCACTAGAATGATGGTAGTTTTCAGCAGCATAATTATTTCCCTACTTATTAGATAATATTTAACTGTATGGGTGTAATTTTTTTACAACTTACCTATCTAAGTGCTTAAACTTTTATGCTGACTGGGAGACTTAAATTTATCTTAGCTGATTCATTCCTGGCATTAAAATGCAATATGTTTAATCTAAAAGTCAAAGTCTGTAAGATCAAAGATAGAGAATCTTGAAATCCAAACCAGAAGGATCATAAATGTTAATACTCTTTAATGACCTATGTACTATAACTCAATGTAAAATAAAGAACTGAAAAGTCTCTTCTGGGTTGTTGAACATACTACTTCACAAGTGGAAGAATATGTACAGTGTTGTCAATTAATTTATTAATTTATTAATTGACAATTGCAATTTCAATAGAACCGAGGCAAGAGAGCTACTAGCAAACTTAAAAAGCAGTTTTCTGTAGATGCAATGATTATGCTGTATTTTACAGAGATAAAGTGTCTAGTCTCCCCTTAAACTTATGTTGTAGCAGACTGCCTGTCGGACAGAGCAGTTCCTGCCAGAAGACACCTATTCAGTTTGCTGTTTGGCACCAGTTGTTTGTTCAAATTCTTCATTTGTCCAGATTTAGTCATCTTATTTTAAGGCTTTTTGTTTTGTTTTTCTAGTTGCCAGAAGTTGCACCAAATGTGAAAAGGTCACATTAAACAACAAGTGTGTCTGGTAAACTGGCAGTAACTAAAGAACGTGTTGCTGCTGTTTTATGTGTTTTCTGTGTTATTTTATTCCTCACCACAAGTATTCTTATGGTTGTTTTTTTATCTTATCCTCACAAATATTTTTGCAGTCTGATCCAAAGGCTGATCCGTTTTCACTCTGCTTTTAAAAACATCAAGATGTTTTGCAGATTTTGCTGAAGGAATAAACAAGTGTGCTGAAAACATATCATCCACTCGCCCTGTTTTTTTTTTTTCCTTCCCCCTGTGGCAGCAGTAACTGCTTGGCCTTGACCTTTGTAATGTTGAACTTCACTTTATTGCAGGATGGATCTAAATATCGAAACTTCCATTAAGTTAAGCAAATAAATTGAGTGTGTCAGCAGCAGAAAGCAGAATTGTCCCGGGGTCCTAGGACGAGCAGGAAAGGAGCTATTGGACAAAATGGAGCAGAAGAACTTGGGTCTGAATTTTGTCTGAACACCTGGAAAATCACCCCGCCAGCTTGTAGAAACACCACTCAGTTCCTCCCCCTGCCCCTTGTGGCTGCCCCCACCCTTCCCATTTCGTGGCTTTATGGGTTTGGTGCCTCGCACCTTCTGCTCCCGCTGCGCTGCTCTCGCGCTGCCCAGGCCTTTGCAGGGCCAGGAGGGACCTGCTGAGTCAAGAGCCCCGTCCCTTGCTGTGCCGTGCTTGCAGTTCACCCCATAGAGCCGCCGTGCCAGGTGAGCTCGGGTCACCGCGGCGCTGTTGACCCTTCCTGGTCTTACCTGAAAATACCCGGGGTTTTACGGAGCCCGGTGAGTCTATTGCATCTGGAGCGAGTCCCAGCGGGTGACGTCTCCACTCACTGCGTTTGTTCTCTACCAGTTCCCAAGCGCGTGATCCTGTCCTGAAGCCTTCGGTCTGGTTTTGAGTATTTGGAAAGCTCTTTTAGAACCTTGTGGGAAGGGCTCCAAGTGTCATGGCTCCTCTTCTCATAAGTGATTGCTTAGTGTCATTCCTTTAAGCGTGCCTTCCTCCGAACAAAGCTTATCTTGACTTCAAAAGCCTAAAGTTAAGCTCAGTTCATCAAGTCTTGGGTTTTAATGATTTAAATTTTGTGTTACTGATGGATCATTTGTATCATATTGAAGAAATCATACATCTCTCATCTAGCAACTCATCTACTCTTGTGATTGATTTTTTTTTCTCTGGATGTGTGTGTCTGTTAATCACTTGAGGATCTAACATAGATTGATATTAAAAATATAAGCACAAATTTTCTGTCTTCAAAGATGCAGAGCAAAGAGCAGATGTTTACCTTGAAGGAAAAGACCAGCTAGGAGGATGGTTTCAGTCTTCTCTGCTAACTAGTGTGGCAACAAGGAAAAAAGCACCATATAAGTAAGTGCTCGAGTTAGTTGAAAAAACATGTGCCTTACATGTCTGTAAACATTGTATTGGTCACTTAGAAAATGAAATGAGTAAAACATATTAAAGATGTATGTGCTGCTGAGATGGCTGCACAATATATGGTTGGTTGAGCGCCACAGGCCAAGCTCCAGACTTATTAGAGTAGTGGATGTCCATATGTTTTGATGTGTGAATATCCTATTGGAAATCTATTTTTAGCAGTAGGGTTTTTTGTTTGTTTGCTTTACTTAGTCTTGTTTTCACTAAAACTTTTTCTCCAGGACTCTGGTTGTTCATGGATTCACCCTTGGTGAAAAAGGGGAAAAGATGTCGAAATCTATTGGCAATGTGGTTGACCCTGACGTGGTAATCAATGGAGGTGAAGTAAGTGAAAATGCTGAGTGCCTGGATTTCTGGTTGCAATTTTTCATTGTCCCCATCTTTCAGTGTCTTTTTCGCTATATTGCTTCCTTGTAGCAGAAGTTTAGAAAGGTTTTCTTATGACTTGGGCATGACTTGCAGTTCTCCTGGGCTGGATTAGCAACTTGGAGTTGTTTTACTTCAGCTGTAGTAGACTTTGCTCTGTGGTCTGTGCTAAGAGAAAAGAAATTAAATTATATAGAAGATGCAGAATGGTGCTTTTGATTTGGGAACACCGTGGATGCAGTGATTGCGGCAGGGAAAGAATTAACCTATTAACCCATGTTCGTGCACAAAATGTCTTCAGCTATGAGCATCAACGTTGCATATGAACAGGATTCAGGACTGTGAGATGGGTTTGACTTAATTTCCCTGTGTTCTAGCACTGCCTGTATGCAGACTGCTGCGGGTGTGTGTTGCAGTCTGGGCTCAGCAGGGATCTTGCTTAAAAGAGGGGTGAAGGCCTCCAAATAGAGCAACTTTGTGGTCACAGTTGCAAGTATCGTTAAGGCCTGGAATCGCGCTGTTCTCCAAGCTCCGGGCCCGTCAGGTTTTGTCGTGTCACCCCCCACTAGGATCACAGCAGGGACCCCCCGTATGGCGCCGACGTTCTGCGCTGGTGGGTGGCAGAATCGAACGTCTTCACGGAGGTGCTCGTTGGACCCGTCGTACTTAACGCGGCGAGAGACGATATCAACAAGGTGAGAGCCAAACATGCCAACGCTCTCCGTGCTGGTCACAGGGCCTCTTGGCTTTGTGTCGGCTGCGTGGAAGTCGTTGTAAAGCGATTCACTCTAAACTAAAAGAGCTTTTCCAAACTCCAGAACCAATTTTGCAAACTGGCTTTTACACACGGATCAAATAGGAATATGAACTATGCAAAAGATACCCTGTGGCATGCTTAGATAATAGCCACAGTCTGGTTTTTGTTCTTCTGTAGGTTTTTGTGGCAAATGTTATACATGGTATTCTGTGATTATTGAAGCAATCAGTTTGGAAAACAAGCATGCTTAGTTAATTCATGGTAGAACATCATCATCTCATGCTTAATCTGAAGTGCAAAATATTGCGTTTAACTCATGTGGTTTATTCCTAGCTTCGGAATACGCTACGCTTTATCTTGGGAAATATAGATGGCTTCAATCCAGAAACTGATGCCGTTCCTGCTTCAGAGATGTACATAATAGATCAATACATGCTACATTTATTGCAAGATTATGGCAGCAAGGTAAATTGTTTTCATTTTCCCTGGATATATGCCCGAGGTGGAAAGCTTTAATTCTGAGTGTTGTGTTATTGTAAAGAAGAAAATTTGACATTTGGGTCATTCTAACTGTTCAGACTAGTAAGATTTTTTTTTCTGTGCTGCAGTAAATAAATAAATGTTCTCATTAACACCTGTGATAAGAAAAATATGACTTAAAAATATGACTTAAGTTTCAGAATATTAGAGTTGTTTAAAGGCTGTTAGGACTTAATAACTTTGATTTAAAAAAAGGAAAGGGAAAAATAAACCTTTCCTCTGAATATCTAAGTACTAAGCTTTCCCCCTGGCGTAGGTACGCAACTTCCGTTAAAGCTATCAGAGTAAAGAGTATGTATCAAACGGGCACATTATGACCACGAAGAATTTTAGCTCTTGGGAGGAAGTCTTTGCTTTTTAATAGTCTCAGCTTGGTTTTGACATGAACCTGCCCTTTGCCCCTCTCCTGTGCCCCTGTCCCCCAGGCCACTAATAGAAATTTTGTAGGATACGTGAAGTAGGAGCTAAAGAATCAAAGTGTTTGAGAGCTTTGGAAATCTCCTATATTCCGTGGAATGGAGCACTTTTTATCACCCAGGACCATTCTGCTGAATGGATGTAGTTTCTGTGGTGCCCCCTCTCCTCTACCCCTCCATACTCAAACTGACTTTCTTGTCCTGATTAACTGAATTAACACTTCCTCCTCCAATGACTATTAAGGAAAAGATTACCCCAGACTTGTCACTCAGCACAGTTTGTGTAAATTCAGGTTTATAAGGAGTATTAATTGGATCCAGGGTGATCAAATTGGTACTTACCTCTCTCTGCTCCCCATCCCAGGTTACCGAAGCCTACAAACAATATGATTATAGCAAAGTTGTTCGATTACTGCAAGCTTTCTGTTCCAGAAATTTGTCTAACTTTTATTTCAGCATAATCAAAGACAGGTAAGGATATTTCTGCTGCCTTTAAGCTATCATGGAAATGGTGGGGGGAAAAAAATCAAGTTAATCATTTTGAAATGCTCCAGGGAAATGTCGAGTGAACACAAGTACCTTTGAGAGCGTTTAACAACTATGTCTTGTGCTCTAGGGAGCCAAAGCACCCAGGTGGAAGCTCAGCTGCTCTCAGTAGCTATCAGGATAGTTGTTTTTGTGAGGGATGTGCTAAGTTTATTCTCTCCACTAGGGGTGCTGAGTCTTTTTGAAAGATGGTCAAGATTGTACACACTTAGAACTAAATGAAGTGGTAGAGAGAGATTCTTAAATCTGTTTTTCTACGTACAGAAGTATGTGTCTGTGAGATGGGGGGCATGGGGAAAGGCTACAGCAGTTACCTGGGTGATCTGAAGTCCTATGGGTCCAAAAGGCAAAGAATCCTTAGGGCTGGGCCTCCTAAGCGAGGATGCTGTCTGTAGCTTAGGGGATGGTGCTGCATGCTCTTTGGTTTCCAGACTGAAATAAATGGGGGTGAATACTGAGTTTAATAAATGAACTCAAATAAGGAGACAGCAGACTCACCTTCCTGAGAAAAGATTCTCTTCTGTGCAAGTGAAGCAAATTAACAGGCATGGCACGAAAGCTCCTTTCCAAGAACAGAATGTGGCTGCTTGTGTAAATATTCCTGTTCCCTCACCCCACTGTGCCTTCCAAGGAGGGGCACAGGGGAAAAGCTTTTCTTAGAAAGGCTGCGTTAGGCTTTTACCCTTTACGTGAAAGGTGGCGCTGGCAGCCTTGGAACGATGGCCCCAGAGCAAGAGCCCTGCCGTGGCCACACCACGAGGATCCTCCGCAGCTTCCGTGTGTGTTTGTGTGTGTGTTCCCGCAGGCTCTATTGCGAAGAGGAGAAGGATCCCAAGCGGCGCTCCTGTCAGACTGTGCTAGCGGAGGCCTTGGACATTGTGGTCCGATCATTTGCACCGATTCTTCCTCACTTGGCAGAAGAGGTTTTCCAGTACCTCCCGTACAAAAAGGGTAAAGCGTGCGTAGGACTAAGGAGTTGAGACACTGTCTAATTGCACAGTTAGAGAGAATGCAAATAGAGACGTGCACCATTCTCTGTTACTCGTTTAGTAAGTACGTGAGCAGGCAGGCACTGCATTCACAATTGCTGTTTCCTTTGCTTTCAAGACTCAGAAGGTGTGTTTCGTAGCGGCTGGATTAAAGCAAGCTCAGGATGGAAGAAACCTGGGACTGAGGAGGCAATAGAAGGTGCCTGTGCAATAAGAGACTCTTTCCTTGGGTCCATCTCTGGCAAGAATGCTTTGGAATATGAAGTTGTCATCGTCATTGAGCCTGGACTGCTATTTGAATTAATGGAGGTAAAAGACACAACTACAGCCACAACTGTGAGGCTGTCCATCTCTTAACTTCTTTAACTTCTACATAACTTCTTTTCCATCTCTTAACTTCTATAAACACTCCTCTGCTTCAATAGAAAGCTTTATGCTTGATGTGTCAAGGAAACTTGAAAACATCTGTCTGCACAGGGGTGCTTTAGACACTGAAATTCAAGTGTGTAGGAGTAGAGGGGTTTCCTCATAGGAGTCATCAGGTTGGACTTGTGGTTGAACATCTCTACTGATTCATTATCAAAGAAACTTGTTGATTTGTAGTAACCCTGGTGTTAATCTTAGCATTTATAATTTTAAGGACCAGATAATCTTAGAGCTTATAGGGTAGATCTCAGTTTTGAGGCCAGATTTGAACATATATGCATACCCCATAGATCTGGTGTGTGCATGTATTTATTTATAAATACCTAAGTGTATAGATACATAAAATATATATTCATTTTTTTATAACTTGTACTATCCTTCTGACAAGTTTCATTCCTTTAGTGGCCCCAAGGACATCTGGAACTAGGGCTGTGAATGGCATCCACACACCACAGTTCTGTATTTGCTTTAACTGCTGCTAGCAGGAAGCTGCACTTCAAAAGCAGCTGAGGAATAAAAACAGGCTGTGGGTCTGAAAGTTAATGCTCTTGCCTAGGTACTGCAGGCTGAGGAATCTTCTAGTGTGTCCCAGCTGAATGAAATAATGATGGCCTCCCAGACCACGCTGGTGAGTGAATTTCCTAAAGAAACACCTGCAGATGCAAATATCGTCAGGGGGACCTTTTTGATCAACTTGGAAGGTAAGCGACCTCTTCCAGACATGCTCTTCCTCTAGGCAGTGTCTGGCTTTCTGCATTGCAGCACCCTGTGTTGAGCAGCCCTTTATGAAAGGGAATGCTACTGCACCTCCCCCCGGCGTTCTCAAGAGTGATGCTTGCCTTAACAGGGGGTGATATTCGTGAAGAGTCATCCTATGAAGTGATCGTCCTACCAGCTGCCCAAGCCAAGTGCCCGCGCTGCAGGCGCCACACGGCCGCGTCCCCCAGCGCTCCCTGCGCCCGCTGCAGCGCCGTCCTCGCGGGAAAAGGCAGCGGCTGAGGGGGGGGGGGGACCGGCTCCTTCCCAACCACCAAACAAGGGAGTGACGGGGCAAGGGGGGTGACTGCAGAAACACAGGGCAATGGCCCAGATTGAGCAGAATTCTATTGTGAATAGGGGGAGCTTTCTGTATTATACCCAATTGTGTATATCACTTTTAAGCTTAATTAAAAAGGCTGTTCAAAATAAGAGTAACCTGTGCTCTGTGGTTAGTAAGACTAACCCTGGTAGTCTTGTTGTGGAATTTCCTTTAAGTGAATTTTTTACATTTCTCTCCTGGCATGAAGTACTGTTGTAGAAGTACAAGGGCTCAGAGTACTTACAAAGAAAGAAAAAAAGGGCCAACATCATCCCCTAGAAAACACAAGATACAATCAAACCTCAAATTTATTTAATCAATTTACACAAATACACAGCAAGTAAGACACAAAATAGCACTATATACATAATATTACTTACAGTACATTACAGATTTGATTGGTGTAGAGTGTGAGCTCTGCCATAATCCCTGTTACAGTAAAATCCTTTACACAGCTGTACCACAATACAGGAATGTAATGCAACTAAGAAAAAAAAGCCTTTTGTTTTTTTCCTTAATTTTCATGATTACTCACTCTCTCATTTCTGCAGAAGTTTGAAGTGCTGTCAGGCAAGAGGGTAAAGTTCACTGTATAAACTACCCTTTTCCTTCCTAGAGCTGTTTTAATTCTATAGTTTTAAAACTGAAGTTAGTGAAAGCATAGATAGTGGATGGCCAGTTATTCTCAGTAGAATTTTTAGGGGTCTTTGCTGTAATCCATCTCATACAGTTGAAGAAAGTCAGACACTTAGCACAAAAACTTTTTGAAGAGCCTTAGTCAGCTACACTGAAGTGCAGCACTTACGTGCACAGTTCTTGAAAGAGGTGAAGGAGTTTGTGCAGAACAAGCTCCCTCCAAAATCCTTTTTTTGGGGGAAGCGTAACCCTTGGATGACAGCAGCACATACTTCAGACAGGTAAGACCAAATTCTGTCTTAAAAAAAGGCATAATTCTAGGGACGTTTCTTACATATAATGCAAGAAAAGCAAGTTATAGGACTGAACTAGTAATTTCAACTGACTTAACTGGTTTTTTGTCTTTTACACCGATATTTTTCTTCCCTCCTGGCTTTTTCCAGGAAATATTCCTTTAAGTAGAAAATAAACAGTATTAACTGATGCAAGATAATTGTCTGTTTAATATACCACTCCAATAGTGAAGATATTCACTATATATTTCCCTGTAGTTAATATAAGCTTTTTTTTTTTTTTATTTAAGGCTAAGGTATTCAGTAAAGTTGGGTCAACTATTTAAGCAGCTTTTGACTATCAGTTAACATGTGCAGTGGCTTACAAGGTACTACATCTTCTACAGTGATAAGATGTGGGTGGGCAACTGTACAGTACAACTTTCCTTGACTCACTGAAACTCAAAAGAGGTTAATACTTAAAGGATGTAAATGCAGTTTTAACTGAGGCCCAATACCCCTGGAAGGAGTGCCCAGAGATTTGGATTAAAAGATGAGTCCATACTTGAGTCTAGAGGAGTGGGAGGTTCTCCCCTTGCCTCAGGCCCCAGCACATTCTCTCCTCTCTCTCATGCCACCATCATTCTCAGGTATAATGCAGTTAAAAGATGTGAGCCCAACACCAGTTCTAGCTCAGAAAAAGCAGTACTGGTTTTACAAGATAACTTCAGTTGCTGAAGTTTCTCAGATGTAATTCTACAGCTTGCTTTGATAAACTAATCATACATGGGACACAAACTGCAGCAGTTACCACTAGTATGAAATACAGAATTTCACAAAATGTAATTTTGTAAATAGACTAAAACTGCTGTCAAATCTATCCCATTTACACTACCTCAAGAAGCGCTCAAGTGAGAAATAAATAACAAAGCATTTCAGATACTGACAAATATACTAGAAACTAACCATCTTTGTGCTAGTGTAGCATTTAAAATAAATTCCATTTTTAAAATTATCTTCTGAAACTCTGGGGTGGGGAGGGTTGTTCTTTTGGTTGTTTTACAAAGGTTTCCTCTCTCAAGTTCGGCCTTAACGGTGTCAGGTCATGCAGAACAGCACTGTATCGCAGGCCTGCAAGGTCATGATGAGATTGCTTCTACAGCCTCTATCAGGTTCAAGGCAAGGCTGTACTGCCCATGGTTCTCTGGTAAGTGCTCTATTACTTTGTTAACCAGTTTAGCTGTTGTTGCAATTGGCACGTCCGGATTTTGAAGGTCCTGGGGGTCCTAGAAAAGAATAAACAGAGCACTGGAGTCACAGATGATCTCCTGCAGGTCATTCCTGGTGAGCTTTTATGAGCCAAGCTAGTATTTGAGCTGTAAGCTGCTGCTTCAGCTCATACTACTGATGCTTTTGCTGCAAGTTTGTTGATGCAAGCAAAACATCACACCTCTAATCTGGATAAGCACAAGGCACTGATTTCTGAGTAGTGCCACAAGAAGAGATTGTCAATAGTCTGTTCAAAGCAAGAACAAATCTAACACAATGTCATAAGAAAGTGTTTCACAAAGACACAAGGGCACTTCTCCATCCAACACCCACAGCTCTCATTCTTCATATTACAGGGTCATGCTATGGGTAAAGACAAGCAAGTCTCTCCCAAATTTACTCGAAGGCATGAGCATTACAGTCTGAACCAGCAAAAACATGTAGCAAAGCTGCACTCTCCAAGTGACTTCATTTGAAGTGTGAAAACTGATCCTTTGTTTCAGCTGGTGAACAGCCTCTGTGGAAGGAAGGCGTCTTCCTAAACGAGGCTCGACTTACCATAGCTTTAAGCCAAGTACAGAGCATTGGAGGAAGCCTTGCAAGGAGCTCCATCCCCTCCTTCGTCTGCATGTGAAGTAAAACAAAGGCCAGTCTCTGTCCAGTCAGTATGAGGAGCTGAGATGCAAGCACTTCCTTGTCAGCCACCTGAAGAAAGGCCTGAAAACAGGAATACACAAGGAGTTAGATACTCTTTGAGCATGACAAAAACTCCCTTAGAAAAGCATCTTTTGATTTCTTTTTTTCCTCTCCTTTCTCAGACACCTTCAGACACTAAAAGGAAAATTGGTTTGGGGACTGTTTTTTGGGTTATCTGCTACTGTGATAAAACATGTTACTAAAAGCCTGACAACAGCAGCAGAGTGAACAAAGGCTGAGATCTGTTCTGAAGTTCAACAGCATATTCCAAGCTTCAGGATAATTTCTTAAATTGTTTGCTTTTCTCCTCAAGAACAAAAAAGGATTTTCTGCATGCAGACTGATAAACATTTCCTGAAATTGTGATCAGAAGACACAAATGGTCATGCACATTTTTATCTATGCCTAAGAAACTTAAACTTAGGGATTTAAAAAAAAAAAAAAACAGGCAGTTTTACCTCTCACCTATGAAATCTGCCAACGTGGATATCAGTGCTCCTCTCATATGAGTACATTCTGCCAAGACTTCAGTTTTACTCTATTCTGTTGGTAACAGCTCATACTAGGAATATTTTTATATGTTACGAGTAGGTGAAAGAGTAATCTTGAAGATATTCAGACATAATCCTGTACTAATTAAAAAATACTAAAAGGTGGTATTACCTCTTCACCGAGATGATCCATTCCATAATTATACAGTTCACATACATAAAGCCTTCGAACCGTATCCTCACAGATTTGAAGATGCTGAGCCAGATCCACAGCCAACGTTGGCCAATCCTTCTCCTTTTCGAAAGGAAACAACTCCTCTTCCAGGGCTCCTTTGGCCTTCTGTGATGAACACAGGCTTTGAACCACTGCACTCACAACTTTCGCCAAGAACTTGGAAGGAAAAATTGAAAGTTACTTCAGTTTTATTTGAAGTTTTAGAAGTTCTAGAACTCTCAGGAGCAAATTTGCACCTACCTGTTGTCGTATGGATAAAATATTTGGATCCATATCTCCACTGGGTAAAAGCTGAATTGAAGTAAGGTCTTTGAAAAAGGCATTTTTGCCCTAAAATTGAGATAAGGAGAGAAGTTATCAATTTTTTGAGCCAAAGCATCCTTCCATTTAAATTGTATTGCATCTTCTATTTATCTTGGAGATGGAAATGGACACAGTGAAGTTAAAGCTAGGGAACAAAAGGAACACATTTCTTCATATAGTCCTAACATTGAGAATTTGCTTTCACATAGGAACACCTGCCTACCAACTTAGATATGTGATATACTACCAGCTGCAGCTTAAATTTGCATATATTTTCTTGTCTCTAGCTTATTATGCCAGATCAAAATGCCAAGTGTGACATTTAATAAGAAATGGATACTAGCTGACACAAAAATAATTTTTTAACTGTTATCTACTGAAAAGCAGTTGACAGTGCTCTACTTTGCAGGTGGCTTGGACTATCACTAATTAAATTGCAGCTAAAATCTGAATGACAACCACCCCTGTTTTGCCAGCCCTCAACCTGGCTGTACTCAGAAACAGACAGAGCTGCCCTGTCTGTTCAGCCCTTGTGTGAGCCCACGGTGCTGCAGCAGTGACCCATGCAGCACCGATAGCCCTGGCAGCCCTGCTCTGCGCTGCATCAGGAAAGAGGGAATATGACACACACTAGAAAGCTTCTGTTAGAAGACAAAAATCCTCATAGCTTCGGGGTTTGCCTCCAGATTGAGAGAACAGCCAATAGAGAAATACTTAGAGGGATTGCACCCTACTCATGGAATTACACAGAACTGTGTTACAGACCCTGGAACATGGTAGGTACATGGTACAACATGGTAGGTATAGGTCTACAAAGCACTTTATATAAAACACAAAGTTTTATTTTACAGAGTGACAAGGAAAACTTCTTTATACCAGGGTCAGACACTAATGGGAAATATACTGTATTTTGGCCACCCTGAGTTCTCTTTAATATATGCATTTTTATATTTATTTATATTTATACGTATTATATGCATTTATATGCATTTACATGACAAGCTGTTTGTTCTCCTTGAGAGGCTCTGAATTATAGAAGGAGCATCAGCAGTAACACATACAACAGCATCTCTCTAACATTTCTGTATTCAAATATTTATGTTTTCTCTGATCTGGTTCCTCTCCAAACAACTATAGAAACCTGGCTTCCAGACTGCACCTGCAGTCTCATCACGCAGTACTTTGAGGCCACCTCGCCAGTCAGGAGCTGATTTTTATGAACCTGAGGCCACTACAAATCCTTTATCCCTAAGACACACGGCCCACTGTTGGGTCTCCACCTGGTGACGACTCAGCGGCTGAACCCTGCCCTGTCTAAATGACTTTCACAGAAGTCTGCAGGCACTGATCTAAGGGGGGAAGCTGACACCTTATAGGTAGCAGGTGGGATGCTTAGATGCGTGCACGCACGTGTCAGAAGCCATACCTTACTGTCAAAAAGTGAGAGGGGCTTCACACTCTTCAGAGCGAACCTCATGATGAGGTGCAGGACAGTACACAACACAAACTGATGCTCCACCAGCGGGTAGTGGACGCGCTTCTGCTCGAGGGCGAGTTCCACGATGGACACGGGTCCTTCGGCCGCCAGCCAGGCGTCCTCGGTGCCCAGCGCGGGCGCCGCCATTTCATCGCTGCCCACGTCGGCCTGCGCAGCGACACCGCGGCCGCGCGTGAGGCAGCGGAAGGCACAACGTTACGCGCGCTAAACACCATTAAGGACCATTAAAAACATAATTTCGTGTTTTCTAGTAGGGTTTATCTGCGTGAAGTGAATGGTGTAATTACTAATTTAACCGTAAGAATTAAAAATAAATATTAATTCTTAAGTTCCCTATTTTCTACTGGAAAAATATAAACTTTTACCTCTAGTAATGTCTGTAGAAGATCTGAACAGCAGCCAAGAAAAGATGTCATAGCAGTGTCACCCATACCTACATCCTGTAGCAAAGGATGACTTAATTTTTTGTAGTTAGATTTGAAAGTACCCTTTAACAACTCGGTATGTTTGAAAATACAATTGTTTACACAGAATATAGTGTTCAGCTCACCTTATTAACCAGTATTTAAAGCTACACAAATGAGCACAGCTCACAACTACAACTGAGGACAATGATTTAGAAATAACACATACACATTTCTTTCTAATATCTTATAAGATTGTAATTTAAAATAGCTTAACCCATTCACAAAACTATTCCTAAATGAGACTGAATTCCTCAAGTCATCGTATCTAGTAAACTTCATTTTCTGAACATATTAATTAAGCTTTAAAAAAAAATAAAAAAAGATCTACCTATTAGGATTGCTATACCTTTCCAATTTGCTTTGTCAGATTAATTTTTATTTTCTAAAATTCGTAACATTGTCTTAGGACTTCATTTGAGTTTTTATATATTTCATAACACACTATCACTTTGAAAACCAAAACAAACTAGTACTGAAAATAAGTAGTTTTTATTTATTTTTCCCCATTTAGACAAAAATAGTATTACTTGCCCTTCTGCACAATCTGTCCTTGGGAGCTTTTCCAACCTGTTGATAAAATAATAACCAGCACAATTAAATAATTTTCATTATAAAGTAGATAGAGTAGGTACTGCACTCAATTTAAACTAATACTTAGCATTTTCCTAAAAAAAAACAGTTCATTACAACTACATAAGACATTACTTTTCAAAGCTTTCCTTTGAAAACAGGATGATTTGATACAGATCATACAACATAGAAATGAGCATTGCTGATGCCGGTACAGTTTTGTTCACCCTTCTTTGGGTGAATTCATCTAGATTTAGAAATAATGCCCAGAAGTCCTCAAAGCCTGAAGGCAACTAAAAAATTATCAGTGATTTCTATAATACAAGACTGTATCAAGCATGAGATTAAAAAGAAACATTAGTAAACGGGCAGAAGGAAAAAATGAATGCTCAAGAATAACCACTAGGATAAGAAATAGTTAAGTTTTCATGCTTTCTGGTCTAAATTCCTTAAAAAGATACACCTCCATCATTTCCTGTTTAGAATCAAGTTAGTAAGGTGCTGCTGAGATCCAACTTCCACAACTACAAAAAAAAAGAAATCACATTCTACAGACTATGAGAAAGCTGCATCCATGGAAGCCACCTCTTCCACAGGAGAAAGAAATTAAACTAATGTTTACAAGACCATAGCAAAGTCTAAACAGCAGCTGAGGAGAGAGGCCACAGTTCTGAACCACAGAACTAGTTAAACTTGACATCAGGTGATCCAGGAGACAGTTTCACAGTCCGACCAGGACAACTTTCCGCTGTCCCTTTTGGAACAGAGTAAGTGCCAGCATCAGGTGAAAGATGATGTATGCAAAAAATAGCTAAAAATAAATAAAGCAGAAAACCTTTATCTTTTCTCCCGCGGGTGTTAACGTAGGCAGAAATAATTGTATTAAGTCTAAATGAAGGCATGAAGAATGTTTTGGTTTTTTTTTTTCCCCCAAAACAAATACCTACTAAAATTCTAAGCCTGTTTCCCTGAGCCTATTTATGGAAAGGAACAAAGATAACGATATTCTCTAATTCTTTCCCAGCTAAGGAGAAAGGGAGAAAATGAGAAGCACAAAGCAGAGGGGAGTGAGGCAGCCAGTCCTTGTGTTTTTAAAATCATGGTCAACACTTCTCCGTTTTACTCTTCTGGACTTTCATGCTAGCAACAACAACAACAACCCCACTTAGCTACTCCCTACATCTGTCAAACCAATAGACAGATTCTTTTATGCATCTTCCTGTCCTAAACAGGACCGATTTCTACCAGACAAGTCTATTACATACATGCAAAACTGAAGTTTAGCAGGAATGTGTAATAAAACTCATCACTAACAAGCTGCACGTAATAGAAACTGATAAACAGAAACTCTCAAGCTGCTGAGAGTTAAAAAATACTCAACAGCATCCCCAAAGCAGCATTCTGCACCTGGAAGAGTAAGCGCTCATACACTCAAAACCCAGGTCCCAGGAGGCCGGAAAGCTACTGCTTGTGGAAGCCTTAAGGGTTCATGGCAATAACCATCAGTGCAGTAAACAAGTATATGGAAAACACTAAGTTACTTTATACAATGAATTTATATACACACACACAAAAAAAATGAAGTATAATCTCCTTAAAATAAAGGATTTTAACAATAAAAATCATTATTAAAAGGAGATTTAGGATAAATGGTTTTGCAAGTATTTTTCTCGTACCAATGAGTGCATTTTTGCAATGTGCACTGCTTAAGAGCCTTTGTTACATCAGCCAATCTCTCCTGCTGCTCAAAGCTACCTATGGTTGGCCATTCCAAAACCAGATATGATATTTTAAAATGGACATTAATAAAGCAGTTAATGAAAGCCAACCTAGAAACCACTGTCATGATGTGACACTCACCTTGTCCATTAGATAAGTAGCAGAAGAAAGCCTTTTTACTATGAATGTATTCCACATCATCAGAGCGATACCTAGAATGACCACACACTTGTGAACTCCAAGCAAATAGAACAAAACATCTTATGTAGCAGAAGCAGAGAGTAAAACTAGTAAAATTCTTTTAATGGTGAGGAATTAAAAATAGATTTTGAGTGAAACAAGAAGGTAACAACAGTTATCCTGGTTGATTTACCCTTGAAATTTAGATTTCAGATTTCTCAGGAGTAGACTACTTTGGTGCCCTAATGTAAGGAAAAAAAAGAGCAAAAGGTACCAATTGGCAAAAACAAGAACGGACCAAACCCAGCTCTGGTTGGATGCGGCTTGCTGACTAGGCCCAAGAACAAGTTAAAGCAGACCTTTCCTGTGACTGGGGATCTCGAGTTATGCAGCCTCGGATGAGGCTGGATTGGCTATCGAGGTGCATGTAAGACACATGTACTGCGTTGTTTGCTTATAAATAGGAGGTTGCAACCCAATAAAATTGCTATTGGCCATCAGCTTTTAGCCCCTGTTCCTTGACACAGGACCCACACCCTAACACAGTTATAAATGGAAGAAATATTTCACTGAAATTATTATACATACCGAGTTAAACACTGTAGGGATACTGTAACTTTGGTGGTAAGGTTTAAAACTGTTGCTTTTGCTACAGCACGCACTATATTTTCATATATAAATAGACTACAAAAAGGACAATTCTCATCACATACTCTGATATACAGATTATCACAAAAAATGTGAAATGTAATTATCTGCAAGGACTGCCCACCACTGTTTTGACTAATTCTTTTTCTAATCTTCACAGGATTTTTTCTATTTTTTTAAGCTACATATAGGTTAGTTTTAACTACCCAACTTAATTTCCATCAGAGTTATGGAAATATCGTTTCAAAAACAAAGAGTCTGAATGTTAGCACAAAGTCTTTCCACACGAGATAGTCACCACTCCTACTAAACTGCATGCACTTATCCTAGTCTAAATACAGTGAATTGTTTTACAGTTTGAGATCATCTTTAATGAGCGCTTTGTACTTACCATGTTGAACGTGGGCGTTAATGATACATCTAAGATGATCTATAGACCTAATGAGAAAACATGCTTCCTTATGCAAAACAAATAAAAAAAGTAAGAGAAAGTTATTATTCAAAGTTTGTTTTAAATGTAAGCTGTTAATTCCTAAAGGACATATTGGTCTTTTTTTATATATATATATATATAGTTATAGAACTTATGAGAAAACTATTTCAACACTGTAATCTTCTCTGCTACTATGTCATAAACACACATACACACACAACATACCTAAATTTTAAGATCATGTGAAAATTCTGATAGCATAAGAACTTAAGACGACATTTTCTAATGTAGAGAAGCTAGCAGAAAGCAGCAGAACGAACTCGATGCAAGTAACTTTTTTTTTTTTTTAAATGAGAGTTCAAGGCTTGAAAAAAAAATCTTGGAGAAAAGTGCAAGAAATCTCTCTTCATTCTTTAAACGGTATGGATTATAGTCTAACAAAATTCTATGATCTGTTTTAGTACATACCAAACACATGAAAAGTTCATCTCTGTTTTGCAATAATTAATACATTTTTCTATTTACGCAAAACGCAAGCAAACCATTGATGACACTTGAAGTGGCACAAATCCAGGATCTGTAGCTTCAGTTTTCAGAATCTGGTAGCTTAGGAACACACTGTCCGGTCTTTTTGAGGTGTCACACAACCTTAGTACTTCTCATTCTCTCAATTATATTTATGCTTGCCACTTCCCACAGGATACACACACACATATACGCGCACACACACATATACACGCACACACACATATACGCGCACACACACATATACGCGCACACACACATATACGCGCACACACACATATATATATATATATATCTACACACACACACACAACTATGCTTTACAGTCAATGTCTTCCTAATGGAAATTTTTATGAATTAAAATGAATTTTGGAAACTGTTTCTAGTGAGATTTCTTAGTCCTTACTCTCCTCAGGATGAAACTGTTTTACCTCTGGGTCCTTATTCCATTGCACTACATATTCCCAACAGCAATGCGCATGGAGTACATCCAGTTCAAGACTGCAAGGAAATTGCTCATATGCCAGTTGCAACAATCCTAGGGGAAGAGCAAAAAAAAAAAAAAAACAACACCCTTAAGTTACAGCACAGATGTTTTCCCCACTATAATTTTGGTACTTCAGAACATTTCTTATCAAAACACTTTTGAAGATATTTTATACGGGAAAAAACAACGTTTTGTTTTTACCTAGGATTGGTTCCAAGCCTGCAAGTGCTTCTGGTTCCTCAAGAAAGATGTTACTATATGTGTCCACCGATTCCTCAGTACTGTCAGCATCTTCTTTGTGCTTTGCCAAATTCAGTACGATAGGGCTGAAGCCTTGCTTAAAAACCCATTTTGCAACGGCGTCAGCAAAGCCTCCTAAAACATAAAAAAGTGTATGTGGTTTGTGTACCCCAGATGAATTAAAGTTCAGAAGCAAAAGGACAAGTGAAGAGATACTCGTGACTGTTAACTGACCCAGTAAGTATACAACAGCTCTGTCGATTAGAAAATTTTCTAATTGACTTGTTAAATGTCACAATGCCATCTTTACAATAATTATCTTTTACAATTATAAAGCTCAGAAAAGCTAAGAGAAGTAACCAGTAGAACAATTTTCACAAAGCGAGCTAAGAATAACGCAGAAGCCTATTAGACAGCCAACTGTCTTTCCAGGGAGGCAGGGGGGGAAAGTACCTTTTCCACCTTCAAGCAGTTTCTTGACAGAAAGTTTGCCCAAAGGCTCAGTCTGTAGAGATGGAATTCTCTTTGTCTTCTTGCTCACTTTGCTCTGCAGCAGTGTTTGAAGTATTAGACAGTCTTCTAACTGTTTCAGCAAAAGTTTCCAGTATTCAGTATCAAGAGAAAGTGCCTCCCATGAGTCCGTATCTGAACCTACAATTATTTGGGAAAACTAACAGAACATGCAGGCTGTTTTAGGTCTGGTCACCTAAAGTAGCACAGTTTTGCCTAGAAATCAACACTTCCTCACAACCTAGTTATAATATTCACAAGCCCATACATCCCCTAAATTCCATATAGCACCTTAAGACAATTAACAAAAAAATACACAGGCCTGGTACTATTGCAGTATGGAATAGTTTTTACTCTTTTACACCACAATGTTGCATGCAGTTTCACAGGATTAATTACAATTTTGTGAAGAAGCAGTTAATGTCAAAAAAAGAAAAAAAAAAAGCCACATTAAAGCCATAACAAAATAAGGCCTAAGAGATTTCACCTGTCTATGAAAAAATAAGAACTGCAAATCTAGTAAAAGTTTGCTATCCAAAGTTCACTGAACTTTTTAGACAAATTTGGAAAACGCACAGACTTTGCTTACACGAAAGTGCTTGCTATCAAGAAAAAACTCACTATACAGTTCACTTTAAATACTTAAGTGTACAGTTCTAATATATCATTCATTTACCTCTGCATAATACTCTTAATATTCAGGGTTTTTTAATGCTTGCAGGATAGCATGACCGTGCCGGTATCAGAACGATAATGAATGAGCGCCGAGGACACTGCCCCGCTGAGGATCCAATGCCCTGCACGACCGCGAGGCAGTAAATAAAGCGGAGGAGAGCGGGGCACGACCACGTGGACCACTTGCCTTTTTCTCGGCCACGCTGTCGATGATCTCTGCGGTGACGGCGTGCCCGACATGGGCAGAGAGCAGGGCTGCCGCGTTGTGCTCCGACTGAACACAAGCCGAGCGCATCTGCTGCCACCAGGGGGACACCGACTGAGTGTCCCACGACTCGTCTATGGCAACTGCACGGGAGGGACAAGCGGGACAGGCAGCTCAAGTCAGGGGGTGTTAAACTCGCAAAACAGAAAGCTGCATTAATTCAGTCTATGTTAAGTAGCAATTTCTAATTACTCTACACTGATATATATTGTCTTTTTTTCTAGATTTTTACCCTACAATTTATAGATCACAACTCGAAATGGGAGAGCCAGAATATGAATTACATGGACTCGAAAGTTTCATATGTATGACGCAGGCAGTAAATCTGAATCACTAGGCCGTAAAACTGGCTGCACACTTACTGTATCTAAGGAATGTCACAAAGTGACACCTCACAACACAAACAAGGCATCTTCTGTTATTTCCAGACACTGTATGTGTGTAAACAACTGCTGCCATAATAACTGTGACTCAACCAGTGTTTAACCCAACCTGAAGGATTTCTGAGCACCCATCAGCACGAGGGAGAGGCGCAGGACTACACACCCAAAACAGAGAGGAAGGGGAGCTGGACATGCCCATCCTCTAATGGCAAAAGCAGCTGTGTCAACTTAGTGGTGAGTGAAACGGTAGGCTATGACATGGGACTTGAACAACCACTTTGCCTCTATTTTTCAGTCATTTCCTTTTATTATTAACATTCAATATTTAGCTCTTAGATAACTTGTTAGGTAAAAAAACCCTGATAGTAATCAGGTAACCTAGATATAACTTATTCTTAGTCAGTCTGGTCAGAGTAAATGTGTAACTGTCTAATTCAGTCAGTCATGTCTAAATCATTAATGTTCCAAATGCACGTTTCACCTTTCATCTTGCTCAGAAGTGACAGCATAGTGTGAAGGCAGCTGATAGAGTCTGGTTTATCTAGAATATCCTTTTCCTTGGAAAGCCAAAGATTGAGGAGGAGTGACTGAGGAGAGAAAAGAAATATGTAATTAGCACTTGCTTGAAAACATTATGTCGCAGAGCTGAACTGTTTTACCCATAAAATCTTGTTGAAGTAGAAAGTTATAAACATGTTGCAAATGGCATCCTGTGACCAAGAGTGAAATGAAACACTAAAACATCTTCCAATTAAGAAAAAAAATCCTACACACTAAGAAAACAAAAACCCACCACACACTTTTAAAGGCACAGGCAGATAATTCCTGAGTCATCACTTCGTAAAAACTGGTACCGTTATCAGTGTTTCAGATGAAAATCTTAACACAGCCAAATAATATTGAAACAAGCGTTTCAGTCATTAGGTAGTGGCTGGGAGAAGAGTATCCAAGTACCAAAATTAGAGGTAGATGATGGTCTGAACACTATTAGAAAGGTTTGACACATTTACTCTCTGTTCTTTCTTTTACACTTTCTTGCTTGCTTGCAATAAGGAACTGTAAAAAAGGAGTCTCAGTACCAATTCCCATCCCATTAAAACTACTCAAGTTATTGATGCAGTCTATCTGAACTTAACTACTATATAATTTTGTTTCCCTTTGGAAAAGTATTGAGGATTACAGTAGACATCCCCATTAGCATACCCACCGATATTTCTTACTCGATTTTTATTTTCCTTCTTTTACATATATTAAGCGGGAAATATGAGCATCCAGAAAATTGAATGCGGGGACATAAAAACATGAAAGATAGTCCGAGTGCAGCATTAATCCAAAGATCAATATTAGGAGTTTTCCTATCAGGGTTTTGCCTTTAAAATACTAAGTCGGAAAGTTTAAAAGTACTTAATAAGCATCTTACCAACAAGGTCTGAGGGCTGAAACCAGCTGACTCCAGTGTGTGACACATTTCTTCAGTGGAACTCTCTCCATGCAAACATTTCCAGAAGAAAAAGCTGCCTGGAGCAAAATACGAGTCAAAATTGGGAGTACCTTCAAAAGTCACTCTTCTCACATACTAACACCTTACTGATGCGGTCCACCTTACTGATCTGGTCGCAATGACTGTAGCACAAAGGACTAAGTTACATATAAGATACCCTGACACTTTATCCTTATTGGAGAGGGATTGTACAAACTCAGCCTTCCACCTACTAGCCAGGAACAGGACGAAAACACTGTATTTTGGAAAATAACAGTAAACAGAGCATCTGTGGTTGAAAAGATTACTGATTTAAAAAGTTTCAATTGCTCCACACAATAGAGCACACATTTCATTGCTCCCATACAATGGTGCTGTCCCACCAACAGGCAACTCTTGCCACAATGGACACTAGGGCTCCGACTGCTATAGAACGCAAGCGGAAAATGAACTTAAAATAAAGATTATTGTACTGCTTTGACTATACACTTAGTTCAATCCCTACAATGGTTTGAAGTATCAGACAAGGTGATCCAACAAGTGACGCATAACTATGTGGCAGCATGTTGCATTTTGTACAGCATGCTAAGAGCCACAACCGCATAATTTATACCTTACCAATGCTATAAAAAGCCCAAATGTCCCTTTGAGGCAGAAGGAAATTGGAAAAACATGATATTCACAAAACCATCTAAGCTGCTCAGCATGACACTTATGTTTCAATTATTTTCAGGCCACCTGCACAGAGCTGAATACCCTGTTAAGCTACTCATGATTCCAGTCCAAAAGGGTGGAAAGAGGAGCACTTTTATCCCAATTCTTAAAGCCAAGTATAATTTCATGGAAGAAAAAAATGCAAATTTACTTAAGCAGACTTAAACTACTTTGAAAAAACCCTTTGATCTTCATATAGATGAAAGTCAAGCTCTTTTGCTTAACTTTTCAGTCCCAATTCCTCTCCAAGTTGGACATTTAAGACCAAAACAAGCAGAAGTTGTAGTTTGTAAACTACACAGCACTATCTACAGAATTCCCTGTTTGCACCAAAATTTCTCCAGGAAAGAGGCCATTTGGAAACAGTCTGCCTTTTGAACGGATATATCTCAGCCTGTTCCCACCAGCTTTTTCCTAAGAGCCCCTCAAGTCAGGAACAGATTTGCTAACTAAAGTAATCTGATCCTGGACACACACAGACATCTCCAAGAGGCTCATGACCTCTCCCCATTATCAAAAATTCAGTTCAGTGCTGTCACAAACCTCCTATAAGCATCCCTCATTTGTGGAGTATTTCATCCCCTGCTGCTCCTGTGCTCCCTTCCCCATGCTGCCTCTGGCCGGCCTGGCCGCCCTTAGAGGGGGTCCAAGTTCCAGTCCTGTCCCTGACAACTGCTCAAGTGTCACCAGGAAGGAAGACAAGAGCGGGACAGAGCCATTCCATAGAGTACCTAGGTACCAGTTACTAGTGGATCAGTTAATCAGTAAATGAAGAGTGGTAACGAAGCTTTAGAGTAAACCTATCTGCAGAGGTAGTTACTGGTACCTAGGCAGAAAGACTTGTCCTACAACTCGCCGTAGCAGCAGGATCTACCACTTCACATCCCGCTCTGCAATGGTACTGCTTGGAAACCTCCCTGAAATATCTTTTGTTTTGTTTTTTAGAACATGCCCAGTAATTAAGGTAACCTCACAAGCAGCTCAGTGGTTCTTACCTAAAGCCACATACTCTCTATCTTCCATGTTTTTCACATTAATTGTATCCTTTTCATACTCTAGATACTCTAAGAAGGTTTTCACAGACAGGACACAATCTTTCTCATCAGCAAACTGAACAGCAGTTTCAGGGGTTTCAGCGTTTTCTTGCTTGTAGTTCTCCAGTAATGTTTGAAGCCTAAGAAAATCCTTTCGGTCCAGACGAAGCAGCTTAGCCAAATCCTTAAAAGGAAAAAAAGCAAAAAATAAGTCTTCTATCACAGAAGACTAATGCAAAAAGTTTTTTTTTAATTCTTTCAGAAAGTAGTTAAAACTGGAACTCAAGAGAATTACACATTTTGAACATAAAAATTAGTTTTTAAAGGCTCAAAATAATTGAATATTCCCAAATTCAGTTATTCACAGATCAAAGTGAAGAGACACATTCCCCATACTCAGATCTTGATCACTGTATAACTGTTATTTAACAAGCAACAAGCCCATACAACACCATTCCATAAGTTTATAAGCATTATAAAAATGATATCAAAAGCAAGCCATATTATAATACAGACCACTGATTTTACTGCTGGTCCCAAAATATCCCCCCAAAAAATGAACAAAAGATTTAAAGAATGCCCTATAGTCCCTGTGTAAATGACTGAAATCAGGAGCTACTGGCTCCATTTACAGTTCTGTCGCAATACTCTGATTGCCAAAGGATTTTAGGTCGATTCATTTTTAAGCGTTTGTATAGCAACTATATTAAAACAAACAAACAAAAAAAAAGTCGAGTAGGAGTCATAAATCTATAACTTCATAACAAGCCCCACAAGAAAAACCTGTTAACTTAACTAACTTCATGGAGGAAGCTTCCAGGCCTGGAAAACGTGTTTTTAACTCTTAAACCACTCATTTCTATGGACTTAAATTTTGAATTTACTCACATTATCTGTAGGTGGAGCATCTTCCTGCATTTTCTGGGAATTTAGTTTGCTAACTAGTTCATAAAGATGTAACAATTTCAATTTGTTCGCACAGAACTGTAGTAGTGCTTCATCCACACACTCGAGCTCTGAGGAGAAATAAAACAATGTTTCAATTTCAGGAAGTGGTTGCAAGCAGTGAGATACTTCACAGCTGCATTAAGATCCTTTACTAGGATTGGAGGCCACAAGCGTCTCAATTTTTTTTTTCCATGTACTGTTGCCTGTAATGATTATATTTAAAATCATGGCAATATAAAACAGGAATTATTTTTTACCAGAAGTAAAGAGAATGTTATCATGGTTATTTTTAAACAGAAAAAGGTTGGTAACATGACACAGAACAAATACATTGCTTTTTCCTGCTAACATGCCAAACCACAGAACGCCAAAAAATGAACGAAATTCAGTTTTGTCAGAAAAAAAAATGCATAACTATCATTTTAGAATGCTGGATCTTGCCAAAATTAAGCGGAAAACTACACTAGCAAAACCCTCCCTCTCCTCTACCCATTTCAAGAAAATGCATGAAAAAAACCTGACACCTGGAAAGGAGAGATTTCTTTTCCAGCTTTGAAGCTAGAAGAGCAATGTTGTCACCTTCTCTCCAAGGCAAGGCAAGCAACACAGCCATTCTCATTGATAAATAGTTTACCAAGAACTTCCATAAAACTACGGCAGAAAGTGCTGGAGTAATGACATTTCCCCAAAAGTGGCTCCAAAAACCCCAAGAAACTGCATGCAATATGAGCCTAGTGAAGTCTACCAAGAAGGAAGAGTGGGCACCTGCCCACAGCCCAGACCCTCGCTGATAAGGATCCATTACGTTAAAATAGATCTGTAGTACCATAAGCCTTCTTTAAGAAACGCAAAAGCTGAGAAACTTTCACACAGAGAAACTCAGGAAATCTTCCCAAGGAAAGCTTCTACCAGATGAAAATGCTGAGCCTGGGATTTTTGCTTGGCTGTTTTTTTTTTTTGGAGGGAGTAGGGGTTTGTTTTTCTTTTGAAGATCTAATCACAGGATGCTAGGCACATGACAAGTATTTTAAAGCCCATGTATTAGCAAGCTATTTGATATCTCCATGGAAAAAAATTAGACACATGAAAGCAACCTCTTATGATACTTAACAACAAAACTACGCAGTCTCCTTGTGGAACAGAATAGTTCCACAAGAGCCTTATAGCACTAGTTTTTCCTCCAGACTTGTTGCAGACAGAGTGCAAACAATTCTCCATATTTGCAAAATAAACATCCACCTACCCTGTTTTTTTAAATCATCCATCAATGTCTGAGTGATGCTTGTGAGAGATGACAGTGGCACACGTTCACTTGCCAATATACTTTCCAGAGCCTATTAAGCAAACATTCAACAAAATCAAACATTTGCTTAGTTTTACTGTGAAAATATTTAACGTAAGCCCACAATAGCATAACTTTCAGAATGATTTTCAGCTGCTTTTTGTCTTCATGTATCCCTGTTACATAACTTGATCTTACAAAAAGCTCTGTTCTATTTACATTATTTCCATTTTATCACAAACAATACCTTGAGGAAGTCACAAATCAACATTAACCCTTGGCAGTATGTTAAAAAAAGGAAAATAATTAACAACTTAAATATTTCAAGTAAGTATAGAAAAAAAAAAAAACACATATTTGGTAAGATATATAAAGGCTTAGCCCTCCAGTCTGATAATGCAACATTTTCTTCCCCAGTATTCGAGCACTGATTTCTGAACATTCACCTGTTTCTTTGTAGCAGGGTATTTAATATCCAGGATTAATTCCTTTGCCTCAGCTTCAACCAAGTCTGCAAATAAAGACAACAGTGCCTTTAATTCCTATTTTGCAGTTGGACTGTAAAAGGCAAGGCAATCTGCATCACAGTTAAAACACACATGGTTTACATACATACAAAATATAGAGCTGACTGACACTATTACAAGGAATTGCCACAACAAATTTAAAACAAACCAAAGCAGCAGCTGAGTAGCAACTCTTACTCAGGCTTGCCTTTTGTAAGAAATGTATGTTATATAATAAACAAGGACATTTACAGTGAAATGTTGAACTGAACTCTCCCACAACAGGGCTTGCAAGTAGACCACACTTCAAGCAAGCATTCAACTAAGCTTCAAGTAAGAACAGTAGAGTGCAAGCAAGATTTAAGTGGCAGACAAGCTTTTACTGGATCCTTTTAAGGGACAGGCTTAATCTGGGTGCTTCTAAAATATACAAGTCATTTAAAAAGACCCCAATTCACTCAGCTGTCTGTATGCACTGCTATCACACCTGTGATCATACACTTACAGATAATACAAGAATCACCCAATAACAATGTTAAGAAATTACATAATAGAACTTACCAGGATCTGAAGTTTTAGCCTTGAGTAATGCATTTAATTTCTTCACTAGGTGCATGTCTTTTGCTCGCTCACTCTTTTTATCACTAAAAGGAAATAATTTTACTTGTATATGTGAAAGAAGCTAAAATGTATGCTTCAGAAAAATACAGGTTTCTTTTATTTATGTTACTTTAAGATAACATCACATTCACAAAATTCAAGTTTATGTATACAAATCAGAGAGACTATTACACCACTCAGCTTGAGAAGGAACACTAGAATTGATCACTAGAAATAAAAAGTTATTTCCAAAAGCAATAATGAAATTAGAACAGGTATACAGAAGGCAGAAACACCTCACCTCAGTGCTAAATGAAAAGGTACGTGGATGGTTTTTACACTTCCAGAGACTGGATCAAGAAGACATATCTGGTAGGTCTGAGGCTGCCATCCCTGACTGGTCACATTGTTTAAACCCATTATTTTATAACCCGGATACAACAGTCTGAAACCAACATAAGAACACAGCTTTTATGCCCAAGAACGAAATCAGCAACTTTCCTTTTTCACACACTGAATAAAAAGGGCTTTTTGACTTGTAAAGCTATGGGGTTAAAAATGACTAAGTGGTTATGTTTATCAGGAAAGACCGCAAAGCCACTAAGCAGGACAAAATCCCCTTCTGTAACACAAAAACAAGCTGCATTCAGTAGAAACATGGTTGGCAATGCAAAGACAGCTTCCCAGCACTTCCTGCTGTTGCCACAGGAACATCCCTGTATCACTTCACCCCAACAGTTTAGCTAATATATCTACATGTAAAGCATTTCTTACCTACAGCACTTCCCCACATTGAAGGCCCCAACCCGAGGGCCTTGCTGAGTGCTCCACACTTCCAGGATTCCTCTCCTTGGTGCATAGATTACAAGGAACTGAGCCACTCTGCTTGGACCCTGCGCATGTCCGAAAGGAGAAAAATCCATCTTCTCAGTTTCTCTCTCATTAAGGTCCTCTACAGTTTGTATCCAACCAATTTCTGCATCACGGTATCCTTTGTCAGAGAAGGCAGTTCATTAATGTACAGAAATTAATAAAGGATTAGAATGCATAGGCAACCATCTTAACTTAAATGTTATCCCTGTAGCAAGATGTTTTAAATAGGGATCTGTGCCGTGCTCTTCTAGCATGGCCCACAAGAGGACTTCTCAGAGCCAAATGCAGCCTCCTGCAGAGCTTTGGGGAAGAACCAGCCCCTTCCAGAGAAGCCACAGAAAATAAAACACCACAGGGCTGTGCTCCTGGGCATTGTACCAAGACAAAAGCCCCTCAGGGAAGGAGTTATAAACAAGTTTATAATACTGAGGAGGCTGCACAGGGTCCACAACCTGCTTAAAGAGAAAAGATGCAGTTCTCAATGCTTTCAGTAGACAGTTTTGCTTTAAACAGGTCTTCAACATATCAACAGCCTCACTCATAAGGCTCTAACTGGGCTATGACTAACAAGCTGTGAATGTGCAATTTGCCATCAAATAAAGCTTGGAAGTATAATGGGAAATCCTAGATAATATTAAACTGTTAGTAACAGAAGAACAGCATTACACCAAATAAGCTTCAAAAATGAGAGAAGAAAAATGCACAAGAGAAATATAGCTATATCTATTTTACTGTTAGAGTGTCTCTGAAGTAGGTACTATTTTCATGCCCATTAATCTGAATAGACAGTGTGGGAGAAAAACAGTAGAGCTAGAGATTGTTCTCTCTGTTCATAAAACTTATCTCCTGTATCATAAAAAGCTGTGAAGCATTCATCCTGTGCAAAGAATGAGCACTGTTATGTTAGATACAATCACAATGACATATATATATACACACACATACACAAAGAAAACAAGCCTAGCATATTTACTTTCTTTAAAAAATGGTTTAGAAGAAACTAAACACTCCCTTCTTGCTTAATCACCCAAAGGAAAGTGAGAAACTAGCAAGGTATATCATTCAAACTTTTGCTTGCTTTCTCTTCGTAAGTTCTAGGATCTTCTTTTGCTTAGAAGAGAGAGTATCTTGTAAAAGAGAGGTTAAAGCTCTTCATAAAATGATTAGGTCAAAAGCTTCCTCTTAAGATACAGTCTTAAGTAAATCATATAACACAGAGCAAATTCTTTCTTTCTATAGTCTGTATCAGTACTTTCAGAACCGGCACAACAATGCCCTTACTTAATTCCCATGAAATCTGTCTTTAATTTGTTTTGTAATAAGACAATGTACTAAAATATTTCATAATTGCAGAAAAACTCCTGGGACTCTAAGGCAAGTCTGAACATAAAAGCCCACTATTCTGAGACATATTAGTTGCTACACTGATGTACACTATCCTACCTTTCCACATGCGAACTGCAAGTCCTCTTGTAACATCCAGTAAAATAACCCTTCCAAAGTCATCTGTTACTGCCGCCAAAGTGTTACATGGAGAGAGACATATTCTTTCACCATGCCGACGGGAATCTGGAAGTCCAAACCTAAAAAAAAAAAAAAAAAAAATCCAACAAAAACACTAAATATCTAAAATAAAACTTCAGAAATAGTAACAGGTATCTTATATGGTCTAAGAGGTTTTTTTAAGGTGTCAAACATATGGGAAAAATTAAGAGCATATTATGACTAGAGTTTTTACACTGTCTGCTGGGAGATTTTGTAGGTCTGTTACAGTTGTATTTACGGTCTGTTAAAACATGAAATTTGCAAAAGTTTCAGAAAACAGCATAATTAATTGCCTTATCAAGGATATCAGAGCAGTGGTTTATTTTATACGTCTTCGCTTATTGCCAAAAAACCTTAAGAATACTTCAGAAAATCCGGAAAAAACAGTCAGCACTGAGTTTAGTTTTTCATTAGTTTTCTTGAATCATTAAGCTGTAACCTGACATGTTCCCACTCGCCTCTCGTCTATTCTTGTGTCCCAGAGGGACACAGGACACTACTAAATTTTTTGTATAAGCTACCGTATAAACTATCATAAACAGTATCTCCTGCAGTTTCTTTGAGGCATTTCAGAGAAACTTCAGGCCTGATAGCCATGAACTTACACTTAAATTAGAGAGTGCAGCCTGTGCTTTTGTAGTAACACAACATATACGCACAGTAGAAATTACACAGAAATGAATAAAGTTATTTGTAGAGAACGTTAAAATGAAATGAAGCTTAAAATAAGTCAACTGCAAACTATCATCCCTGCTTCAAGTCAAGAAAGAGGCTGAACAGCTAACCACTTTCAAAAAAAATTCTAATGATCAAGAACACAAGACTTTCAAAGCAATTGAGATGTTATGTCAAACTTGCCTCACTGCCAATGGGGTGGCAGGTTCAACTTTTGGTTTCTGTTTCTGGACAGGTTCTTCTTCATGTTTGCTCTTCCAACCAAGCCAGCCACTTGCAATAGAGAGAAAAAAAAAAAAAAAGGGGTATTAGGAGAACCAAAGTAATGATTCTAAAAATCCTCAAATTATTATGTGGCTACTAAAGCAAAAGTCATTTAATATTTTGTATTTTTTTACCTGGCAGCATTAAATAATGCTGAAGTGAGTTTACTTGCAACTGCTAAGGCAACATGAGACAATAGGGGTTGTGAGCTACCCTGAAAGGAAGAAGAGAAGTATTTAGAAAGCCAAAAAAACGTTTTCAGACCGAACCCAATTGCAAAATGCTTTTTCAGACCTCAGACACTATGAAAAACTGTCTTCAGTTTTCCCTAGGTTTCAGTATACCATTTGACCATAATGTGATCAAAGCCCAAAAGGTCTTCGATAATCCATAACATGCATGGCATGGCATGTTATGGCAAACTCAACCTACATCATTTTTAAAGTCATTAAAGTACCTAACAAATCCTCTATTCCTCCCAAATAAGTTTATTCGATCATTACACTGATTTTAAGATAAAGAATAAGAGTTCTCATTGGCAGGACTCTACAGAGATATCACTACCACATCCAGCCAAAGAGATTTTTTCCTCCAGATGATTCCAGTTTCTCAAGATCAAGAAGGAAGGGAAATGTCAGCATGGAATGAACATAAGAATACTTGGAAATACTCATGCAGAAAAAAAAATTGTTAATTATTCAAACAGGTTCACTAAGTCAACTTTGTAGGACGTACCTCTAGAGCAAAAAAGAAGCCAGTGAAAGGATTGGATCCAACAGTAACATATTGAGACATAGCAGGAGGGCTATTTTTTATAGCTGCATTATATCCACCTATAGTGGAGGCAGTCTTCATTTGATCAAAAGGAGACAGTGTTGTGATACCTATTAAAAAAAATTTTTTTTTTTTTTTAAATTAAGTGTCTTACACTTTCCAAACAAAGGTACAAAATTGGCTGACAAGGCACAATTCAGGTGAAGGGTGAAGTAGGAAATAAAGATCCAGATAGACAAATTCCTAAGAAAACAACATAAATAAATACACACACCAGGTTAAGAGAGCAGAAGTCCAGTCCAATTTCCTTCAACAGTAAGACAAAAACCATAGAGTTTTTGTATGAAGCTGAACACAATTTGCTGTGTTTTCCTGTTTTTCATCACCAACCCTGTGTGATGAAAGCAAGCTTCCCACAAATTGCCTGAGTATCAAGGAACCAGAAGAGATGCACATTGAAGAACAGTATCAGCACAAGCTTTGCAGCAAAGACACACCGATGGCCATCCAAATGCACTTTACCTAACTCTTTAACACACTTCTGACAGCCAAGCTGCTTTTGTGAAAGGGAAGGAAAAGACACTATGCTTATTCTCCCCAGGTCTGCCTGTCTGATAAAAACCTGGCTTTCTGCAAATTCTGAAAGAGTCAAGGGCCTGGACAGCCACCTTAGAGGGTTTTTTGTAGTTGTGTTTGTTTTCCTTTGTTTGTTTTTTGGGGGAGGTGGGTAAGGGAACAATCTAAACTTCATTAAACTTGTGAATGAGCCATATCTTATCCTACCTGATCTATTTTTTTTTTTACTAAAAAGATAGGATAAAGCAGTTAAAACTCTACCAGCTTTTCCCCTTCAAGTGCAGGGGGAGGCTCAAACAGAGTAGAAGATAGAGTAGAACATAATTATGATAGTTAATGAGCTCGCTCACAACTTCGGTGCTCTCCCACTACTCATTTTTAGCAGAAGAGTCCCATAAATCAATACTGTTAATTATTAATATGCTAATGTAAGAGCACTAAGATAATTAGCTTCATCCAGATTAATGTTTTCAAGTAAACAGAAGGGCTTACCAATACTAGCATGATCAACGATTGTATCCACATCCTGCAAGCCCCACTTCTTGTAAGCCAGTGGTGGTGGCTGAACATTCTCACTGCCAGATGCTGCAGCTGACAAAGGTTGGTAAAACACACACACAAAAAGAAATGTCTATTGAGGCAAAGACAAAGGAATAGCATAACCAAAAAGCCACAGAAAGAATAACTTGGTTTAAATTAAAATACGCAAACATCTGCAGAGCTAAAGTGAAGATTGGGAATAATTTCCTTGATGTAATTAAAGCATTCAAGAAAAGCTAACTGAATAAAATTTCATGTGACATCCATCACAACATTTTCCATTTGCAGACAGCTTTGTCTTACCCGTCATTTACAGATTAATATTTCCCTGCAACTTATAGAATGCTGCTTCAACTTACTTCTGCATTCTGGGCATGTTTTAGAGAACTTCCTCAGCCAAAGTAACTATAAACCCAGAACACTCACAAGACACGCAACAATTTGAGGTGCAATCACCAGTAAAACTAAGGTGATGAGTCAGACTCCCCCAAAATGTATTAGAACACATAAATGAACAAGAATAAAAGATCATGTAGGACCACTGCTGGAGATAATTACAGCCAGCTTTAAGTGTTTGCCTGCAAGCAGTGATCTTTCACAAAAACAGGAGGATGCAGTCTTGGTTGTGGAATTAGATGGATCTTTCTCCTTATAGCTAAAATTAGCACCTGCATGTTTGCTGCATGATTCACAGACTATCAGTTTTAAGACTTCCGATCTATGGGAGTTTCCCTCTCCTCTGTTGCATGGAAACACTACCCCTCCATTACAAGCATAAAAATAACCATATTAGACACCCGAAGCCACTGAGCCCAGTAAAGGATCTGAGCACAACTAAAACGAGATGTCTAGGAAGAATATTAAAATCAGGACACATATCTGACAACATAACTCTAAACTCTTCCAGTTTCCAAAGAGATCTTCTAAGGCAGAGATAAATTCTAAGCACTCAAAAAAGCTTCATAGTTTCCTCCTTATTTAACCTGTCCAGTCTCACTTTGAGCTCAGGGAAGTTCTTAGGAGTCTCCTAAAAAGTCCTTAGTCAAGGAGTTTCACGATGTAATCCTCCCTGCACAAAAGCTCATCTGATTGTATTCCAAACTCACTGCTACCTAGCTTCATTTAATGCCCCTTCATCCTGAAGTGGAATAAAGAGCGATCTATTCCTAGCCACTATCTCAGCACAGTTCAAAGAGCTGTCTCACGGCAGTAGCATTCCTCAGTTCTTTACCTCTCATCCCTTCTATGCAAGACTCCTGCCTCAACCTAAGGGTGCTGATGTCCCAACAATCCCTGGAGGTGTCATATGCTGGCAGATCCATTGAGGTTTTTCCATACTCAAAATGTACCTATTTTCTGCTGACACAGCTTGGTGCAGAAGAAATGAGAATGTGACAAAGTTGAAACACAATGAGAACAACCATCAAGAAATTCAGAAGAACAATCCAGCAACAGTTTTTGTTCCACATTTTATCTCCTGGAGTTTTAACAGTCCCACATTTGTACAGTCTACCACACAGTAATGTTATGTGATTCTCCTGTTACCCCAGGAAACTAATGCAGTTTCCAAATCACACTATAAACAGGCACCAAAGGAACAGGATCAAAGGCTGCAAAGTCTAACAAGGTACCAAAGACCCTCAGGCCTTCACCAACACGAAGACCATTACTAAAGTCACCATTACAGCAGTATCAGTTCCTAAAAGGTCTCTCCCAAGAAGAAAAACATTTCACTAACTCTTAGTGAAATCAGCATCCTGACTTGCTAAACATCTTAAACAGTGTTCAAGTGACAGTGTGCCAGACAGTCAATACTACTCAGACAACTTGTGCTGAGGACACTCTGTGGAGGGGGAAAAAAAAAAAAAAGAAAGAAAAAAAAAAAATCGACCGCACAGCAGATGTTATATACCAATTGACAAGCAAGGAAGATCCAAATTTCATCTTGATTTGGTACTTAAACAAAAGTAAGTTGCATACAGAGTAAAATTAATAGTAACAACCCCAAAAATAAATGTTTAAACATACCTCTTGCTACCTGATTACGACATGCACGAAGGGACTGAAAGAGGCTGAAACCATCAATTGTCACAATTGCTGCTGGATACAAAATACTGAGTTCTTCATTCTGTATATTAAAAATAATTTTTTTAAAAAACATCAATGTTACTGTTACAATAGTATCTTTTCTAGCTTTTTATATTATTTACTATCTGAAAATAAGCATTACATCCAAACAGCACTTTTCTAACAATACCCAGACAACAGAATAACTGAACTAAAACTAAAGAAATGAAGTATTAATGTGTCCGGTATATGAATATGCACAGTCATTCAGGCATGTTACTTTGAATTTTTATCTTCTTTCACTGACATTTATATTTCCATGATATATTTTATGGCTTAAGGAGAAAACACGAAAGTTACAGCAGCTTATGAAGACCAGAGAGGAAAAGGTTTCTCTAGAATACAAGTATCAAGGATTTATGAGCCACATTCTGAAACTGAGCTAGCGCCTGAATTACCACTTGGGCACACAAATGTTAACTCAGTCATATAAATGCAAGATGTAAATGCCTTAATGTGTCCACTTTTCAAAACTGATCCCAAAATGTGACTCTAAATCACATGAATGTTTGTACAAAGCCAGCTTAAATTTTTGCGTAGCTTCATTAGTTCTCTACATAAAGCAGGCTAACTCTGCCAAGAGCAAAGCAAGCTGGCTTTTCTACTAAATAGCATAAGTTCTACAGGAATCTTTGCAGGAAATACTTGTCATTAAACATAGATTCCTAGCACTATCACTCATGAACGTTGTTTTACTTTTCAGCTATCTTCTCTGTGAAATAATTAGAATCAAGTGATTATGAAAGATTAGATACAGCTCTTGACACCTAGTACGTTGCTTTTTCTTTCATCAACAATACATATTTTGCATATAATTTTTGCACACAATTTTGCACATGAATGAGAAAACAAACGCAAGAAACAAAGTCTTCCTTTGCAAGAGGAGTGCAGAGAGAAAAACAGAACAATTCTATCAGGCTAGCTATTCCTTCGGAATACCGAAGGAGTTAAATCCCCAAGCCACGCAGGCAAGAATAATTATGGAACAAGAGATCTACAGCCTGTTGTTGTAAAGAATATTCTACCCATCCAAAATTTGTAAAGGATGTAGATGATTCACAGAGAAGACTCCCTTCCATACCCCAAAACACTGCCCCTTCGCTTTTGAAATAATCTGACAAAACCTGTTCTGTGACACCAGGATGCCTGGGAATTTCGTAGGTTCTGCACTTAAGCTGCAGGACAGGATCTTCATTTAAAAGCTGTGCAAGAAGCAGTACTCCACTCTAGAAGAGAAAAAATAATAAGCATTAACATTACTGGCCCAATCCCTGTTTAGGGAAGGCAGAAAGTACAATCTGCAGAAATAGGTATTTTAGAGAAATAGCTTCTATGTGGCCTTACTGTGCCGAGAAACGTACCTCAGTGTAGAAGCGAACGTAGCCAGAGGTGAAGCCAACCACAATGCAGGTCCAGTCAGGGCGGCCCGTGGAACTCCTGTTTCACAAAGAGATGCTAGAAATTAAAAATCATCCTGCTCCGAGCTGTGCATGATCAAAACTGTGCCATAAGGGAGTCTGATAATGCATATAGCATAGGAAAAGATAGGTCCTTACCTCTTCTGACTTGCCAATGGGATACACAACACACTACTGACGCATTCACTATAAATAGAAAGCATAATTAATTGGCATATTTCATCCTCCAGTTCTGTGAAGTTTTGTTTTCTATGACAATCTTACCAAACCAGCAGTTGGGGCATTTTAAATATATATATATGTAAATGCAGCACATAATTGATCATACAAATGCATATCAAGTCAGAAAAGAAAAATTTCATTTTCAAAGACATTTTAGTTACGAAATTAAGAGATCCAAATTAAGAGACTCCGCTTGTGTCCAAATGTATTCTATGTGTTCATTACATCTCATTATTGTTCTGTTCTCATTCAGATTGATTAGTCAGCCAAGAGTCTTCCGTACATATTGAAACAATTCTAATCTCATGCATGTAAAACCAAACCAAGTTTGCTATGATTTTTAATGATTGTCAAGAGTAATCATTAAAAAGCCATAAACTTTATTCATCAAAACACATTTTTGAAATCCATTCTGTAATTTTACAGACATAGCATTTTATCACATCATAATCTAAAAGCATTTGTGTTAACTGGGAAGCCCCAGTTGAAAAACGTGAGCATCTTTAACCAGAGTTTGCATGCCCAATAAATGCAGAAGAGCAGCCTCTGTTTCTCATATCAACAGAGTTATTTTACCGCTGCCATGACAGAAAATTTTACATTGTCTAGGGAAACAGAAGCTGTGTGAAAGTTTTATAAAACAGACAACATACAAATTTGAGATGACATATCAAACAGTGCTTAAGAGGCTACAGGCTAATGCCTGCAGTATTGTTGATTATTTGCATTTCAGGTCACCCCCACTCCCAAAAGGAATGTTTAAATAAGCAAGCTTGATAATTAGAGGGAAAAGAGTTTCTAAATGCAAGTTCGACAAACAATAAATTACAGCTTAAAAACAATGTTAAGTGTCTTCGTAAAATTTTCATTTTTAATCAGGAAATCTTAGCCACCACAGGACTTGCAGCTGAAGACAACACTGGGCACAAAGCTTTTCAAGTCTTTAAACAATCTGTGTTATATTCACACATCCATAGAAACAAAAAATTCACCTATGGGAAATGCTTGCAAACCTTAAGCAATGAACATGACTGTGTCCATCTAAAGTAAGCTTCCCATTCCATATGTTAGCGCTCTAGGGATTCTAACTCCAGCGGGGGGAGGAAAAATACCCACCGTTTTTAAAAAACTAAAGACAACATGGCACCTTCAGTGCTAGGGCAGAGAAACACTGCACAGGCACACTGCAAAACAGTTCAAATCTGTGCCAGCAGCAGGTTTATAAAATAGGATTATGCTTCTTCCAGGTTGGAGAGAAGCTCATTAAGCCAACACCTCCCTCAGCAGAAGCCAGAGAGGAGATCGTTCAAAGGGTGGCAGCAACTCAAGACTGCAAATTTAAGAGGGTTTACAAAAATATTTGTAGGAATGAAATGCAAAATCCTCTCTCGTACTGAGATTTCAGAAAGAGTCTGTCAGTTACCTGAAGACAGCTCTTGCAGAAATATCATATAAACACCAAAAGCATGACCAAAGTAATTTTTCAAAATACTAGGTAACTTAAATTCAGAATCTGCTTCTGAAAGTGGCTGAAACATGAAAGAGGCTATTTATCATGGACATCAATGATACACCATGCATATATGAAGTTTATTGCACCTTGAAAGCTATATATATATACATATATATATATATATTATATATGCATATATATATTATAATATATATATACACACACACACATATATATAAAATATGAATTTTGCTCACTGGTTATGATTTGGAGCAACATCTTGACCAGGAAGATGGTCTCTCTTTGTGTGAGGTTAGGAAGATTAAAATAAGCATTTTCTAGAAGACTTCGCCTATAGTCCCAACATTCCCTGACAAAACTCCATCTCTACATGAAAGTAATTTTTCATAAACAATATGCATACTGTTTGTTTTTTGCTAAAATAAGAATTTAAGAAAAACACTGCGATAACCCAGGCTTATTAAAGGTTTTGAATTATATGCACTTACACTGATTTCCACAGACTGTACCTCTGTTAATCTGTATGAATTTATACTGCACTAATACATTCATATACATGCATGTCATAGCACACAAAAAATTACGTTCTCAGAAAATGCTTCTGATCACCCATCTTACTCCATTTTGCCACCTATAACATTAGAATGCTTACAGGCATGAAATGCACTTCAGAGCACTTCTTCCTGAAGATTTGAAAAGTATATTTAAATAAAGTCATGTTACTATTTTAATCGCAAACGCTACAAATCCAAAAGTGACATTTTAATTACAAGGAGAATTCAGCACCTACCCATCTTCAACATTCAGAGAGCCACTCCAGCCAACAGCATACTGCATCTCCTCCTTTCCCTTGTCACTGTGCTTCCATTTGGCTGCCATTAAGAATAAAGACACCATCTATAAAATGGCAGTGTTTTGCATCTCACAGATGTAATCCTAGTCCTAACCCCTCTCTTCTGTACAATACATCCTGACACATTTTAGGTAAACAGCAATTACACAAATTGAAGATTATTTAAAAGGAAAAATATATCACATTATTTTAGATATTAATCAGGGATGACATACTACTAAAATCCTCCCGAAATGCCTAATTTCAGGAGGTAAAATATTTCTTAAAAGAAAAGGTAAAACATTTCTTAAAGCATAAAACTAACACAGAAGACAAAAATTTTGTTTTGTTCTCCAAGCACAATCAACATCAACATCTGCGAGAATCTCTGATAAGTTACAGTATACCTGCTATTTCATTATTCATGAAAAACAGTTTTACCACTTCCAAATATAATTGAGAAGTAGAGACAGAATCCACCTTGCCTGGCAGTACCTGAACTATAAAACACTTGGCCGCCCCTAAGTTCTTGAAGACAAAACTTACAGGATAGGGGCAGGGGGGAAATGATTACTATTAAATATACTAGGATATGTACTTAATAGGATTTATACTTACGCACTAAAAAGACAGCTTTCTGCTCATTAGCTATTACCATCAAGTCATTTGTTGGTGACAAGGACAACACGCAGCTGTGAAGCCAGTAATTTCTCTGGTTCTTAGAAGCAGATTCCTCTTCTTCCTATGAGTAAAAATGTAGTCAAAAGCAGAAAATTGCAAGACTCATGACAAAATTTTGGCTTGTTCTCAACACCAATGCAGAACGCATTACTGCCTAAGTCACTAGAGCTCAAACTTGCACAAAAAAAAAAAAAAAAAAAAAAAAAGACAAATGCATCAACCTTGTGCTAATTATATCAGCATGACTACAGAACAAAAAGGAAATAAATATTAATTCTACTCCTTGAAATCCTTGAAACTCCTTGAAAGGGCATATATGGAATTAAATTTGCAGTTTTATAATTACAGATAAGATACTGGATAAGAACATATTATTTAATACCAGCAGGTTATTCAAGCTTATTTGCAAACCAGCAATTGTGAACTACCTGGAAGAAAGAGTCTGTGTTTTTAAAAAAATTAATAGATTTTAAAACCTTCCTTGACAAGCTCCCAGCTGCAAACAGGAACGTGTGCTTTAAAAGGGGGTTTAAAATTATGCTTGAACCAAGGTCAAGGCTTCATCGACATTTTTATATAGCTTATTTTTCAGTGGAAAAAGAAATGTTAAAATGACTAATTAAAGCTGAATTTAATTCAGTCCAAAGTTTTGGAGAAGACAGGAAAAGTCTTCATTACAAGTTAAAAGACTAATTCATTAAGTCAGATAAAGAAACCTTATATGTCAATATGCAAAATCTAAATACTTCAGTATATAGAAGTTTAGATGAAGTGAAAAACAAGCTGATGTGCAAAGAAATACTGCATTCCAAAATCCTGGAACAGTGAGCAGAGGAACAAGAGTATAAAGGAAGGCAATTTAACCACACATGCAAAGTCTACCAAATAGCGTAGAAAACAAAGTACTTGTTCTCAACACTATGGAAATTGTTACAGCAGATTTAATAAGGACGTGGCTTGAAAATTTTCATGGAAATTACAGTGGAGCTAAAGACCCATCCTATTTGAGGGTTTTCATATTCTTTTCTTTCCCTGACAGCGTCTAAAGTGATTCATCCCTGAGACCACATGCTCCTCTTGTCCTGCTTCCTCATTGCTGCTGTGGACCTGCTCCCTGCTGAAGCAAGCAGTTACAGGGAGACTGCCCAGCTTGCAGCTGGTTTTCCTGCATACTGACATAAAGGCAGCAGGTAAGTCTTGTTCCTCAATTCCACAACTAGAATTCCTCAGTCCATCCCATTAGTTCTCTCCAGGAAGGAGCTACTGGAGCAGTTCTGTTCAGATGACTCATTCAGGCGCAGGGAATTTTTCACAGATATTCTCCCTAACAAAACATCTTACGCAAGTCACTGGCAACCAAGGAGTCTCGGCCTCTGCAACAATCCTAGACCAGCTGTGCAATTCTAAGTGGAACTAGCTGGAGAGAGGGATGTTTTTATTCCTTTAAAGAGCCCCATCCCACAGAGGCAATAGGATCACATGCAACATGAGCCTTCATTCCACACCATCCACACACCTTCACGTAAAAGGAGTACTATATATTTATTAGAAAGATGCTTACGTCAGTGCTTCAGGATTTAGGAGTCTGAAAACTATTCATTCATGGGAGACTTTCACAACTTCACTGCCATGTCCAGGCTCCCCAAACCCACTGTTCAGCCACCTAATTAAAGCTCCATATCCAAATATGACGTTCTTTGCCACCATATTTAGGATAAATAAATAAGAAGAAATCAACTACCTCGGTACTTTTCTTAATACTTATTTTTTGGCATTAGTCCTAAGTGGCATGAAAGTTTATGCATCTGTTTTTTTCCTACTCATTTTACTTTGTAGCTTTTATCACATTCTGAAGCATTTCCAGCATTCTGTCTCCTTCATGCAGACTCTGGACTGTCATTCGCTAACCATACAAGCAGCTGCAGAAAATCCAGCTCTCACGCAGAAAACCGGACATGCAATTACATCAGTTTGCATCATTCTTTTACAGGAATGAGACTTCTCAGCACTAACTCTGCACTGGAATGGAGGCAGGCAGGAGGAAAATAATGTAATGTGATGTGAATCACAGGGATGTGAATCCCCTGCCCTGCCCAAAGCAATGAGAAACCAGACAACACGGGGTGGGGGGAAACAGTACCAAGTAGGTACATGCAAGTTTTTGCATTGCTTCTAAAACACATTCCTCCTCGTAATAATGATGGGATGCATTGAAGCATGCAGTCCTGGGAATTAGATATGAAGCAAACGTCATCTTTTCAGCTTTCTTCTTCCATCCTATACCATAAAATTCTCAGATATCTGCTCTGGGCTCCTACATACAGGTTCTCCTGTTGTCTGCATTTTGCCTTGGATTAGAATGACTCCTTATGACACCTTATTTTTACTCCCCCCCCCCCCTTTTTTTTTTTCCTCTTCTCCCTGATAGTGGTTGACAGTCGCTGTCAGTCGCAGTTGACAGTATCGAGAATGTTGTTACCTTCACATAAGGAACATTCCCGAGGCACTGACAGTTGACTTTTCCTATAGATCAGTTACCAGCCCACGTTATAAGGATGTTCTCTTTCAAATTCCAGGCAAAAAAAAAAAAAAAGTGGTATTTAGTCTCAGCACAGGTTTTTTTTTTTTTTTTTTTTAATGTAACTGTGGGTCAGTTTAAGCGTTACCTAGATTCTAAGATCAGATGGTTGAATTTGTCCCTCCGCAGTTAATGTTCAGAAACTGGATAAACAAGAGAACAGAAAGGAAGAGACCCCTAAAATAGTCTAATTATGGATGCAATTAAATACGCAGGACTTCTTTCTAATGTAAATTGAAGTTGATCTTCAGTTTCCTAAGTCTTTGTAGTATTTCTGCGCTTTATCAAAGCTGAGATGAGGTTAGATACTAAAAAGATACACCAAGTCTTTCCTCCCTCCAAAAAAAGACTGAGACAAAAACAAGTTCCTTTCTCTGTGTAACTCTAGAGTATAAGATGCCCTGAGGAACATCTCCACATCTGTGGATGCTCTAGTGAGAGGTAAAAACTAAAGAATACAAGAAGATGAGTAACTATCACAATAAGTAATATATGAGATATATTTTGTTCACTAATCCTGTGAACAAACAAGTAGTTACATTTAAAATGCTGTCCAAGATTGTTTTTCTTGGTCAGGTGATAACTACGGGAAATATGGGAAAATAAACCGACACACACACGAGCAAGTAAGGCAGTCCTTAAGGAAAGGCAAGTTAGCAATGAAAACTCACACGTATGAACTTACAGGTTCTTGTACTTCAGCATCATCCCAGGCTCCCCAGCCATCATCTTCCCAGTTTGCTGATTTACCTGCTTTAAATGAAAAACATTTATCATATAGATACAGCATAGACAAGGAATAAGGAGAAAAAAAAAAAAAAGAACACTTTTTTGGCAGTTATATTCATTCCTCAATGCAGTTCCTTTTCTCCAATGCATTATAATTCCAATTATAACTTCATTTTTAAACAGAAACTGAGTGCTAGAGAAAGAACCTGAAGTAGTAGGAACAGATTACTTATTTTCATAAATATATATATATATATATATCTCACTTTTAACACCATGAAGAGATAAAAGATATAATCTAAGTACCCAGTGGAAACAGGCTGTAACAACACTTGTGTTGCAAAAATGAGTTTTGACAGACTTCATCTAGAACTCTAGCCAAGTAACAGTGTACAGTGCCTGGAACAAGACGTCACTGATCCTTCATTAGGGCCTCTTCACTTTACATGGCAAATTTCTCAAGAAGATTTGTCTTTTCTCAGTTTCTCTATCACCATTTTAAGAGATTAAAAATGTCTTGCTGGTTTTATACAGCAAACAGAAGCCATTAATCAGGAAAAAAAAATCACAAAGAAATGCCACATCCATGGGGCCACTTGATAAATGAACTTCTTCCAGTTGGCTCAGAGACCCAAAACTTGCATTGACTGCAAAATTGAAACTTGAACTTCATTTATCTATTTGCTACTATTCCAAAGGTAGTAAAAGTCCCCATCTGGAACATACTAGCAGACAGCTACAGGGAGAAAGAGAAGGGAGAGGTGGCTCTCTCCAAATCTCCACAACCCTACGCACTTGCCCCTGCACAGCCTACCAACTGATTTAAGATGTACCATAAGATACAAGAACTACATACACCTGGTTTTGTGATGATGAATATTTTTATGCTTATATAGACCATCTCCCCTTTCATAATGTGCAGTGTGCATTTGGTGTAGATTTCAATTTTTTTGTTGTTGCCTTTAAGTTAATTTCAGGATCAGTCAGTAGCAGCAGACTTATTTCACACCTAAGGGATGTATACAGAAATTCTTCTGTAACAGCAGGATGCCTAAGGCCACAAGGCTGCAGATTTCACCAGCCTCACTCTGCAATAGCCAAAGCAAAAGCTGAAGCTGTAGCCTGAGGGGAAAACAGGCACAAGGGCTTTGGGTATTCACCCCCTGCCAGATGACACCGAGGAGAATTAACAAGACACACGTCAATATCACCTATGCTATTCAGAAATCATTTTCACTTATACTATTCAGAGAGCTCAGCAAAACCACAAGCCTACCTCAGGCATCTGGAAAAACTATCAGTGGTAAAGACTGGCTCAATTCCTAATGGTCTGATAAGGGTGAATGTGCTAGTCGTTAAAAAAAAAATACATCCTCTCTCATTTGGAAATACAACATTAACGTGTCTTAAAGAGCCTGTGCAAAGGGCTACATAGAGCATCCATTGTAACACAAGTCCATACTCTGTTTAAAGCATGTCTAAATTTTTGCATGGCTAATAAAGACAAAACCTTAAAAATACATTTTGGCTTTAAGAAGCAAGCTATTCAGCAATACTGTTTAGCAGGTACTTCACAAGACCATACAAGACAAAACACCCACTCCATGAATAACCTTTATTAGAATTTGAAAGGTCTCTACCATCCACAAAAAGGGTGAGTCAACCCATTTTTACTGCATCATCGTCAATACAGACCTCACTGCACAGTTATTTTTGCAGAACTACGTAGGTAAAAACCTTCAAAGGGTCATGGTCTCATCTCGTAGTTGAGCTTGAAAATTTTACAGTGCACAGATATATTAATATAAGGGAGAAATATGACAAGTGTTGTTAGTTATAAATTGCACAAAGAAAACACTAAAAAATTCAATGTTTACTCTAAGAAAGCTATATAAAATTCTACTTTTGCTGGAATTTCATTTGCTCAAAAGGCAATAAAATCCCATTTCTACCAAATTCAAGGAGGAAATAAGTACTTTCCCATGCCATGGACCCATTTTGCTTTTCCTGAGAGCATAACCACATCCAGGAAACACTGCCAGCCTTGAGGCCAGTGCCTTCTCTGCAGTGCTGAGCAGATCACCATTCCAAAAGACGTCAGCCCCTTTACTTATTTTCATTGTTTTATTTATGGGACTGCTCAACACAAACCTTTGACTGCGAGGACTCTTGTTGCCTCTTTCCGAACAGTTAGATTTTCATCGCTGTCATCACCATCCTCAGATCCAAATCTAGATGAATCACGGACAAGGTAATGTTGGGGAATCACCCCATAAACAAAACTGCCTTATTTTTCCCAAACTGTGACCTGCTTTACAAAGCCAGCATCTCCTACAGCTTGTAATCCTTACAAGCTTGCTCCTTCCCACTCATCCTCCACACTGCATATATCGCCCCATGTGTCTTAACTGCATGTATTTTAAAGCCCTGCATGAATTCCCACCTTTCATGCAGGAAGGAAAGTTGTTTCCCTATCCATGTGATACAGACACTTCAACTATGCAACTAAAATGGCTAGTGAAGTTGGGCATTAGCTCATGAAATCATGGATAGAGAAGCAACAGAAAGAGGGATATTTCCATAATACTTGAAGTCATGAAAACAATCACTGTGCTATTCATCCGTGCCTGCAAATCGCAAAGTGTCCCACAAAAGCTGTCAGCTTGCAGGAGATGACACCCTTTCCTATGCACCAGCACCTGCTAACAAGTCAAGTGAGAGATGACACAGGAACCTAGATGTCTACCATGAGAATTTTAAAGAACTTCACACATTCTCCCCTAGTAAAAATAGAGCTCAGGAGCAGTAACTGTGAAAGAAAAACTATTATGGAGTAGCCAATAGCTAAATAAGTCCTAAACAGTCCTGGACTTGTAACATGCTGTTATTTGGGAAAACTTCAAGTCTTCCTGTGTACACCTAACAGTTCTTATTCACCTCTATCTCCGACTAGAAGCTTGGTAAACAGTTCTCCCTATTTTGATAAAGCAACAGCAAAGTCAGATTTTACTTTACTGCAAAGAGAGTAAGAATAGAAATTGATCTACTGGATTTACAGGAATCACCTCATTCTTTAAAGCACATAGCATTAAAACTTTACCATCACTGCATTTGAAACTTTAGGGCAGCTTATAATTTAGCATAAAATTGTTTTAAGACGAATTTAATGCACAAAGTCTCACTAAAGAAAACCTACGCAGAACATCTGAGGAATCAAGCACTATATGGCAAACATTTTCACTGACGTTAATGAATAAGAGACTTCTTTTCAAGTATTTTTATCATAACCTTAAGAGCCAAAAGAATAATTTCCCACAGCAGCACCATGGCCTCGGCCTGGCAGCTGCTGCCTCTGGGCACAGAGCCCTTGCCAGTCCTTCCAGCTCTGTAGCAGGCGCCAAACGGCAAGTGGGATACAAGCTTGCCAGTCACTGCTTGCACAGGTGTGAGAATACATGTATCTAATATAGATGCTCTCTCTAGATATAAGAGCATTAAACACAGTCATGTATCCATTTATTTCATATCTTCATTTCATGTATCCATGTATGTAGCTTTTCATCATTTTATAAGCTTCCAACTTCTTTTCCATCCATGCTTCAAGAATTGATAAAATTTATTATGCAATTTTTTCTTGAGCTATTATTTACAAGCAAGAGTTTCATTTTTTTTCGCCTCTGTATAATTACTGGTGTTCCATTACCTCTGCATTACACAACCAGCGAGACGTTTATTTTCTCTTCAGACTAATGAATTGTAGGCATAGTTTAAAATCTTCTTGCTATTCAGTAATCATAGAACATTTATTGGAAAAGTTCCCCTGACTAGAGATTGCCAGATTTTATCAAGCTGTTTAGGAACATTGCTAAAAACGATCTTCTGAGACCAAGATTATAACTGATTTTCAGTTATTGGTTTAGATGCCTATAACAACTGGAAAAAAAAAGGTGTCACTCAAAATCAATTAGTTAACTCACTGATACGAAAAGCAATAATTTGAGAGAGAAAACACTTTCTCCTCCCTTAGGTGGTCACTACTGCTGTCCACAAGAAAAAAGAAAATAATTGTAGATACTACACATCTTCTTTAAAATAATAAAATAATGTTGCAAATTTCCAAGGCTTGCAATTATAACTGCCTCCAAAAATAAATTTTGAAGCACCACGGGGAGGGAAAAAAAGAAAAAGGAGACTGATGTTATATAGCACGGGAAGCAAATGATATACAAAGAATATCTTATTTTTCTTTTAGGTACAGATCACAGTTCAAATTACTGCAAAAAAAAAAAAAAAAAAAAAAGAGGATAAAGCAGCAAGAAAGTCAGAGTGCAGGCGACATGGCAAAGCAGTCTGATGGTCTGATGCTACTCTGCAACCAGTGCTGACAGCACATCATTTAGACAACGAATATCTAAGAATGTGTTAATAATAAAGGAAACAACAAAATAAAGGCAGAGAGAGTACTTATGATATGTTATTGGAATAATGAAATGGAAAGAAAGGACACAAAGCTATTTAATGCAATCTGCAGAGACAGGATCTGATTAAAAGATGCAATACAAGAAAGCTCGTCAGAAGGCTCTTCAATAAGAATAAACCAAATTCAATAAGTGGGACACAGAAACAGTTAGGAACTCTGCTGCTAAATGCAATCTACAATTAAATTTTATAACGCATTTTTCCTTTTAACCTTGTTTCTAACTCTGAAATAAAAAGTCTGGTCGTCTATATTTCTGAATCAAATTAGTTGATACAAATAAAGCGAAGTATGCCAGCACAATTCCAAAGACCCTATTAGAGGACTCCAGGGCTAAAAAACACTTTTCAGGATACTGACAGCTTAACAGGACTGGATTTTGGAAAAAGTTCCTCTAGTAGGAATAAGCCATCACCCCTGCTATAAAAAAGGGACACATCATAGCTCTAGAACACATCATAGCCCCAGAATCAGTCAAAACTGGTAACTGATAACAAGTGTTATGCACGTCATTACCACATGATTTTCTGCTCTTTTCAGTTAAATGCCCATTAATTTCTCAGTGCTAAAATTCTGTTATGCCTGTGAAGCCTTATCACATTTTGCAAACAGGATGCATTTAATGAGTTATTTTTCATTCATGGGCAATGTCTTATTACAGACAGTTGTATAATGGAGACAACTGTTACAGCTGTTCTCTGATGGAGCCAACGTTCACCCACAGACATCTTGCATCACAGCAAGCTGTCAAATTAAATGTTATACAAATACTTTCTATTCCCAGTATTTGTACATTTGAAGCAGCAATTTTCAAAGCCACTTAGACACCACCAGGTTGAGGCACCACAAAAGATCTCTTCCTCACTAATAACATTAGCGTTAGCTTTTCCCAGGAATTTAAGTTCTCGTGCTTTCAGAGTCCTGTTCTTCACAGAAATGTGAAAAAAAAATAAAATAAAACCTTTTTTCCCGGAAAGAAAGGAACAGGAATTGCATAAAGAGCATCTTCAGCTAGCTTAATCCACAATGACACTTTTATTCCTTTAAGCCAAGTGATGCCAGACCCACCACAACCACACTTTAGTCCTCTCCCCCTACAAGAAACCAGGGTAAATACAGAGGCATTTCACTAATCAGGGAACATCATTCCAGCTTCCTTAGTGTTCCATTATCAGAAGTTTCAATGTATGGTTCCACAGCACAACGAAGGAGGAGAACACAAACACTTTCCCTGGCCCGTTTCACGGGTGGTTACCAACCTGCTGGACCTGGAGGCCATCAGGGTTTTTTCTTTCCCCTCTAGTTTGTAAGAAGGGTATATCCTTCGCATGAACTAGACGGATGCAGACTGCTGTGCCCCTGAAAAATGGGTTGTGAAGTTGCAGTTATCAGCATATCTTTTATCACCCTTTTCTACTTCTGGACTGTGTCTAAATATTCACTCATAAAAAGGAGAAGAAAATTTCAACTTCTCTTGGAACAAATGAAGATGCAGATTCCTTTAAGAAGTTAGTTACCTTTTTAAATCAAATTTGAAAATGACAGCATGGGTTAACAATACTTTTAATATATAATTTCATTTAAATACCATTTTAAAACAATACATGATGCCAAGGAAACTGTTTTTACTAAATCTTTCTCTGATAAGAAAAAATTATTTAGATCTTGCTTAGTTTAAAAAAAAAAATCTTTGCTTTTGTTCTGGTTATAATCAGGATTTTTTTTTCAGAAGCAGGTTGTTTCTTATGTTCTCATACTTCTCCACTTACCCTTTTGGCCAAGCCAAGAGTTCTTTCACATGAAAGAATGCAAGAGCCAAAGTACACAGCTGTTACCAAAGAGAAAACAGAACAATTTTCAGAGTGCCACGCAACAAGTCAGTGGCTTGTCAGTGGTGAGAAAAATGAATGGGCTAACAGGTAGATGAAAAGAATAACAAAAGAATGAAAAACTTAACAGAGTATTCCAACCAGAGCAGCAACTCCAGACACATATTATCAGCTACCAGCTTTTCATATGTTCATCTACAGCGAGAGAAAGCAAACTCTCCAAGTTTGATCATCCCTTTTGTTTTCCTAAACTAAACCAGCAGAGGTCAAGACCAGAAGACAAGTAGTGACTGCAGCCTCTATAGCAGCCCAATTTAACACAGCAATTTTCTGAACAATCTTGCAGCTCAACTATTCAGTTCATCAGGTAGCAAACAATCAGAAACCAGTGCAACAGGAAAAAGTCTCATGTTCTATGCAGTCCAAACTATGCAGTCCAAATAAGCAATATTTTGAAAAACACTTCATTTTAACACTTGCATCAATGATTGAATGAGCAAATAGAGAAAGAGTCCAGCACACAACCAGCTCATTAAAACCAAAGAATGGCACACCTTAAGATTCTCATTTCTAGGGGGCTTTCCAAAGTATTAAGTTTCCTGTCTTTACAGCTGTCATTTGGTAAATCTACTATACCAGCTGAAAAGGATTCAGTAGAAGTTACACACACTATGCTCACCTATACTACCAAATAAGACATAAACTGCTTAATTTCTTTTGCATGAGTTTTTGGAACACAAACATGCATTTAACATTCTGTCTTTATCTTCACTATCCAAGACACACTAACAACTTCTAAATGGCTCCAAAACTTCCTCTTTAGATTCAGGTGATATCAAGAACATATGGAATCAACAAGCATTTTTTCCGGAGAGTTACAGGAGTAAAACAACATGCACAGAGATGGCACATGGCAGTTTTTTAGCAAAAGATTTGAATAGCCTACGGTCTCTGACTGCAAACAGTTCTTCCGAAGTCACCCCTCCCAAGTACATTTGGACATAAAGGTCCTGCTCCCGGTGCAGTCCTGGGCCGCGGCTCGATGCTGTCCTTAAGCCACGACTCTAAGTGCTCACCTACCTGCGTGTGCCTGGCCCCCCCCAGAGAAGCCCCCCGCAGCGCTCGCTCCCTCCAACACGGACCTTCAGCGGAGAGTCCGGAATAAAAGGCAGAACGCGCAGTGAAGGCAGAACGCGGGCTCCACTCACCGCTGTCGCGGGCGGGCGCGGCGCTGGCCGGGCGGCGGTGCGGGCACAGGAAGTCGCGGGCCGCCTCCAAGTCCTGGAAGTGGCCGAAGGGCACCAGGGTGCACGACATGGCCGGAGCTGCCG